TCACATTTTGCAGGCAATATTGACCAACACTTGTCAAAGGCGCCGGGGCCTGAGTAGAGGCTGGTGTTCATAAAACTACCGATCGTACACCTACTGGATGGCGCATGGGGAACCTTTTGCAAATACGTCATGTTCCTTTTACTGGATGGCGTCGCTGTATGCGATCTGGGATCTGAACTCGATTGATCAGTAAATTGACTGCGAGGATGCAGGTAAGGTTTACTTCACATGATATATCCAACTGATTGCGAGATTTGGTGTCCATCAGAACGCTCATGAAAGTTATGGTACCCCTCTAGTCGGGTAAGCTCTATGGGTCGCGGGCATCAGGGAAACCCCACTCACTTGTTGTGTAGGACCACTGAAGTGAAGATCTCATGGTATGTACCCTGAGTGTTTGTTCAGTTGTCCCCCTTGCGTCGTATCACTATTAATGATGTTCTGTTTAGACCCGTTACTTCGCGTGTGTGACGCACTGGACTTATCATTAGTCGACTCAGTAGTCAGGACTGGGGTTTCCCTGTTGTTTCCCCAGGACGAAGGTTTATAAAGACTCTGTCTTTGAATCTTTGCCATTACAATCATTCAAACATGGCTCCTCGTCGACGAGGGCAGAAGCCCCAGGTCGCCACCATGCCTACTCCTGCTGCTGTACCTCTCCTCGTCCCCGCTGCTGCTGCCCCCATCGCTGCTGTCCCCATTGTTGCCCCCATCACTGCTGCTGTTGCATTGAATGCAACTGCGCTTCAACACCCCCAGAGACAACGACAAATGCCTCTGAGGTTCCGCGACGACAACACAGCTCACACTGGCACCAATCATACGGCAGATGTTGGAGAATATATTGAGATCGGCCAAGTCTCTGGGGATGAGGAGGATGACTTGCCTGCACCAGCAGTCAGGGCTCCTCCAGTCCTCGGCCCACTGCAAACGGCTACTAGTACGGTTTACTCCACCCAAACCGATCACTTGGCCACGGGTATCCAGGGAACGCAGCCCAAAAGCACGGCTGATGTCCGTTTTTTCTTTAGGTTGGATTCAGCCACTAATCGCAAGATCTGCCAACCCTGCGAGTGAGTACATTTCTGCGGTTCTTTCGTTCTTTCTCTCATCCTTGTCCAGGGAGTTGCACAAGGTGGACGATTCACACCAAATTACCACATACAAGCACACAACCGGCACTTCTGCCCATCATAACCATGCTTTCTACTCCCATACCGACCTTTACCTACGAGAGGCAGAGCGCCTGCGCTGGCCGATTCTTGTAAAATCACTGAAGGGCCATTTAAATGAAGGGTGGACTTTTGCAGCCATCTGTGAAAGACTTCAGGATCCTGCTTACCATATCGACTCGCTTGGTACCATGCCTAATCTTGGATATAACAATTCGCTGCCCGAAACCGGCTTGTCTCCGGATGATTGCATTCTGGATTTCAGCATCGATGAGATGCATCGCCAATTAGTGAAGTTCATAGTCGCAGATGACCAGGTGAGTGGTATTTACTTTTGATGTGCCCTTGTTAATTGATCATCTGCAGGCAATAAACATAATTGAGTGCATGGAGTTCCGGCGCCTGATACGTCTTCTGCGGAGGGATGTCAACGAGTCAGACATTCCCCACTGCACGAAACTTCGTGAACTGGTCATTGTCGCATGGCACGAGTATTTCCAGGCGTTGAAAGGTGATCTTGCAGTAAGTGTCTAGTTGTCTTGTCGAGAGTCCCGTCAAATGTCTTATGTATTCTTACAGAGGGCGCAAGGAAAAATCTCTTTTACGTCTGACCTCTGGTCGGATCAGAAACTCCGCCCATTCATGGCGCTCACCACTCATTGGATCGCCAAGGAAGAGAAGACGTCGGTGCTTGTCTTGAAGGCCGCCTTGATTGCCTTCCACCACGTTCCCGGAAGCCACACTGGCAAATCTCTTGGTTCAATATTACTGCATCTCCTCAATCGTGCTAATGTCGCAAATGATGTCAGTGTTTAACTGTACTATATGACGCACTCTGACTTTGTTTAGCCTGGCCATTTCACGCTGGACAACGCAGGGAACAACAAGACTTCAATGCAGGAGCTCTCTCGTTTGCTCGAGGAATGCCAGATTCATTACGATCCGATTGAAAACAGAATTCCCTGTTTTCCGCATGTTATCAACATATGCGTGAAGCATATTGTCGACGACTACGCCACAGCGGACTTTTCTTGTGTGGCGGAGAAATGGGACGTTTGTGGCACACCTATCGACAAGAAGGAATATATCGGCGCTATCACCGGTAAAGCTCTCGAACGGGCGAGAAATGTTGTGCGCTCGATTCGTGCATCAGACCAACGACGCGGGAATTTAAGGGATACCATTACGATAGGTAACGAGAAGGCATGGTTTCAAGGAGACAATGGCGAGCCAATAAAGCTCCCTACAGTCGAACTCCTGCTCGACGAACCAACACGCTGGGACTCAGTTTACGCCATGCTTAACCGTCTACGAACTCTACGTCAGGTAAGGCCCTATCTCACTTGACATTTGTCATAGACTAATGGTTGCCCAGGTGATTGATTTGTTCTTTGAGTCCGCCAATCAACGCTCCATATGCGAGAAAAAGTTGAGTCCAATGGAATGGCATTTCCTTCAGGACTTTGAAGTAATTCTGGAGGTCCGTATCAATGTCTTTGAAATGTATGTTGCAATTAACTGTGTTATGTCAGTCCCCGCACAGAGCTCAGCAATCTATGTCGAGCGAGAGCACTCCCATGTTGGGTAGTGCGGTTCCAACCTTTGAAAGGTTACTCGAGGATTGGAAGCAGTTGGCTATTGGCGCCCCGCACTGTGCGCCACTCATCAACATTGGTTTGACTTGGGCGGAGAAGTATGACGGCCGGATGGCCTGCACGAATGCATACGCAGTTGCAATGTGTCAGTCCCTCTCATTTTCACAGAGGCTAATTTCTGATGATTGTTTTATAGTCGTTGATCCAACCTGCCGAATGTCATGGGCTACAGATCACTGGGACAACGATCAAGTTGATTCGGCGAGAGCGTTCATTCTGAATCTAGTACGTTTATTTAACTAATAACGGCATGCACTAACATGTCCTGCAGATGCATGCCAAGCGAGCGCAGAGGCTCCCTGACGTACCAGTTCCAACCCACCCAGTCTCAAGGCTACAAGCACGCACACTAGGCTCGCATATCTACGGACTTCCTGAGAGGGATGTACCATTGCATAGCCACGATATTTTCCAGACGGTCGAACAGGAGTTTGGGGCTTATACCACAGCTAACCTTAGTCCTGAGAGAACGAACATACTCTCTTTCTGGCAGGTGAGCATCTTGTTTTCCGTCAAGTCACATCTTTCGTCGTTGACTACAACATTTTGACTAGATGTCCGAGGCAATTTTCCCGACAATCTACGCCATCGCTATGGACTACCTCCCCATCCAGGCATCCGCTGTCCCCTGTGAGCGGGTGTTCTCGTCAAGCAGCGAAACGTACACCAAGAAACGCAATCGCATCAGCCCAGTCCTCATGGAGGCGCTACAGATGGTAAAGTTCTCCGTCAAAAAGGAGCGACTTGACTTTACCAAGGGTTGGGCGGCGTCACAATGGGACATGGAAGGTGTGATGGTATCCGACAATGGTTCTGACGAGCTTCTGGCACCCGTATCTAGCGAAACTACAAGTGATGGTTGTGCATATGACGCGGTCCTCAAAGCCATTGCAGAGCATGAGTGCGATGACGTTGACGACGAGGTCACCATTTATGATACTTGACATTTTTGATATATCTTTTGCCGCACATTTCTTACTCCTTACTTACCATCATGCACTTTATCATTCTTCGTGTTTGTATATTTAATTTCACTTGTTGCCTCAAACCACATCTGACAGTCTCCTGGTCAGATAATTGCATCCTCAGGATCTATTGAGCTGGAGTCATGCTAATCAGCGTGCGAGAGCGCCATCTCCCACAGGTTCACTCATTTTCCTCCACTCTCTGTCGCAATGTCCCCAGCGCTCCCCACCATCGACGGCATTTTGCTGCACGTGAAATGATGTTTTCAGACGTCGGAGAACCTGCATGCCTCTCACCATCTACGAATCCTGCACCACGAACACTTTCGGTGCATCAAATCGCCGTTAATCCCTGAAGAAAGTCGCCGCGGATCCGATCAACAAGGTGATTGTAAGTACTGTGTCCTGGTAGTTTCCCTGAAGAAAGTTGCCGCGGATCAAATCAACAATGATCCAATAAACGGGTGAGTTTTTTTTTTCAATTATCTGTTGTGACGGCTCACTTTCCTTCTCGATATACAGTATACAATGTGACCTCAATTCTCGACGATCCCCGACGACTTTGCTTCCAACCCAACCTGCATCACTCAATCCTCCCGCCCCCAACACAATCTCCTCAAAATTGTGCACCACTCCACTCAATCCTCCCGCCCTCTCCTACCCAATCTCCTCAAAACTGCACGCCACTTCGTCATGAGCCGTTCATGGACGTTTGCTGCCGCCCCCACCCGGGCCACCTCCACTATTCCGCCGGTACGTGAAGGCCTTGCTGCCTGATCTACCCTCACCCTCTCCATTTCCGCCCTTGCTGCCCGTTCTTTCCTCACCCTCTCCATTTTCTCCCTTTCCAGTATCTTGCGGGCATGAGTGAGACTGCAATATTGCTAATCCAATTTAGCTTTCCAAATATCGGAGAAGTCAGCTGTCAGTCGGTCACTTACATCCGCCTGGGGGCCCATTGCGATCGTGTGCGTTGATTTGCGATCGTGTGCTTTGGTTTGCGATAGAGTATTTCAGATGTAGTACTACGTAGTGTTATCGACTTGTCGTTGTAGAATCAAATCTGATGATTGATTGATTGCGCACAGGCTGCACAGCGCACAATGTTTCTATTTCGGGTCCACCCTATTAATACACGTATCTCTAAATTCTAATTAAGTCTTATATGTTACATGTGAGTTTGGGTCCTACTTCTTAACTCAACCATCATGTCCATTGTCCATCGCCCACGGAATCAAGTAAGTTCGTATCCGCCCTCCACGCCAACATCCTAGTCCTCCTCCACGCCAACATCCCAGTCCTCCTCCACACCAATGTCCCAGTCCTCCTCCACGCCAATGTCCCAGTCCTCCTCCACAACAAATCTGCACAAAATGTGTGAGTTCGTGGCTATGAATACGTCTTTGATTAGTATCACAAAGATTGCAGGGGCCGTTATTCCTGAAGGGGCGTCTGCAGCGGGGGAAGTGGGGAAGGTGGTATCTGGGAGGGTAACCGGTGAGTGTTCGTTTGGGATGGTGTGGGTGTGCTGATGCTGCGAATGCCAGAAACTCGTGGAGCTCATCTGCGGTGCAAACATCGTGTCCCACCATTGGTCCGCAGCCAAAGGTTCTCACATCGCTGAAGCCAAAAATTCCTATTCTCGGTCTCCAGCCAGCCATGTCCACCCTGTCTCCAGCCATGATTTCTCATTCTCAACCAGGCCGTAATCTTCATTGGCCTCGTTCTCCAGCCAGTCATGCCCGTATGCTGTCTCCAGCCATGCACACCCGTCCAGGGTCTCTGCGCAATCTCCCCAAAGCCACAGCAGACCTGAAAGAACTTGCAGTGGCTCCAGCAGCTGAACAACGAATGCCAATGACTCCCATAAATCTCGGGGGTCCTTAGATGGCATTGTGCTTGCTGGGATCTTGTCCGTTAGACCGCTCACGCTCTGTTCAGCGGCTGCTACGTTGCAGGACGTGCCTGGGTTCGTTGTCAAACGTGCTGCTCATGCCGTTCATCAATGAGGTGAGTACTGCTGTCTCTTGCTCATATTTTGTGTGTTTAATTTCACCGCAGGCGACTGTGCGTTCAGAGAAGGTGATGATCCGACACTATTTACTGATTGGCGGGGTTCCCAATGCCTGTATTGTGTCCAGGGTGTTGCGACTCGTGATGACATTGACAAGACACTCAGGTTGGGCATGGCGCATCCTACGGGCTGTTACAATTGGGTGAGTTGCTGTTCCACGACGCATTTCTTTGTGATGATAATGTACGATCTACCATAGCTGATTTGATGCCTGCCTCTCTATTCAGCAGAGGCTCTACAAGGGTACCTCAGATTCCAAGCATCGCCCTTCGGTGTTACTCGAGCGCATGGCGGACGCTCAGTATCTTGAAAAGAAGAACTATCATTTGTTGTACTTGTAAAATCCCCGGCCGCTCTGTACCATTTGTATTTATTTAAATTTTAAATTTATTCTAAATTTAAACTTAGTTTGAGCTGGCTTGAAGCCTGGAAACATGGCTTACTGACTGGACCGGGCCGTGTATTATGTAATATATAACTAGATACATGGCTTGGCTAACTACCGCTCCGGCCACGGCTAAAGCCGGAGATAAACTCAAACTGCGGCAACACTACTCACGGTCTTGGATTGTAATCTTGCAGAGTTTTCTGTAAAAATGCCTTCTCGTTGAATCAATGCATCATAGGATAGTATATTCTATTATCATCCAGAGAAACAAATGTATCGGTGGTATCAACCCGACTAAAATACACAGACAAACAGTATGCTGGTACCCGCCGACCCATTACCGAAGAAAACGAGGAGTCATCACCGCGGGCCTGCCATGTCTGTACTTCACAGTAGCATGTTTAGTGTTGACGATGCCTCTATCTAGTAAAGACGCAGTCGAAGCAAGAACAGAGCAATGCAATAAATCATGCGATAGGACAGCGAGGGAATGACAGCAAGCAGACAGCACTACTGCAGAAAATGTGAGAATACGGCCCATCAAACAAGACATCCATGTGAACAAACACGATCTGCTGTTCTAGTGGAGTCTTCTTGCGCATCAACTTGATAGCCTGGTGCAATGCTACCTCAGCCCATGTGTAGTCCAACTGCACCGAACCGTCAAGTGGGTTGCTATAAAAAGTGATACTGGGAAATCCCGAGAATTACGTAGCCGCAGCAAGATGAATCGACTCGTCCGAGAATGATTGGAAGGTTGAAAGAGTCGACGGAGGAGTAGTAGAACTCAATGGACCCGATGGAGGAGTGATACAGACCAATGGAGAAGTGGCGCAGCCCAATGAAGGAGTGGTGCAACCCGATAGAGCGTAACAGCCTCATCAAGGTCAGATGGGACCCCTCCATGCCTGAATCTCTCCCCAAGGCTGATGGAAAGATTGTAGAGAGACATGGACCGATCAGAATGACTGGGGGGGGAGGAATAGTGCAGCAAAATTAAGCTCAATGGCCTCATCAAGGTCGGACAGGACACTGCTCGAATCTGTGATTACGGCTGATGCAAGGTTGGTGAGAGACGTAATTCGGTTAGAATGACCCAGGCGAAGGAGGAGGAGTGCAGCTCAATAGAGCTCAATAGCCTCATTAAGATCAGATGGGACGCCCTGCTTGTTGAATCTCCAACAAAAGGACGGTGTCAATGTTGAAGAGATATGCGGAATGACGATAATGGCACAGGGGACAGCTCTGCAATGCTGCTCTAAATATTGTCTGTCATGCTATTGTATCGAAGGAGTTACACGATCGAGGGTGTCAAGAAAAAACCGAAGAGGGGAACAGCTGGGAGAAGATGTCAATATGATTGTCGCAACTGTCATGTCCAATATCCATGCCACTTACATGAGGTAAGTAAATTGTATGGGCACGTCCACACTTAGACCAGCTTGCAATCATGAATCACGATTAATCACAGTACTAGTGACAAGCGCCAAGTTGAACATGCGAACTTTAAATTTGAAGTTAGGAGCTGACTAAGATAATTGTTTCACAGTTGAAGGTTATAATTAGATCTACTTTCTACTTCTGAACTTTTGTCCGGGGAGGAAACAATAAACCACTTCAAGTTGAAGCATTCCATGAGCAGGTAGTGAGCGTGCCAGGCTGATAATTTTTTGTCTTCTAATTCAGGACCGTGCATTCAAGTCTATCGATTCAGAATCTGGGCGCCTCCAAATTCGTGCAGAGATTGCACAAGCGAACAGCAGTCTCGATCAATGAGCAGTTGATGGTCTTGCCAAAGTGAGAAGAGACTACAAGAGCAGTACGTGTCTTACCCTTGCTCGCACGTCCTGTTCTAACCTATCTAGAGCGTACCCGCCTCCGTATACTCCGAGAGACACTTGCTCAGCGCAGACGCACGCTCAACAAGCACACCTTCCACCCCAATCTCACACACTTACCAAGGAGTCTCAGGAACACTCTCTTCTGAGTAAATCGTTGCTAGAGCACGCTTGGGCCTCGTCTAGGAGTGATTACAGGTGTTTCACGTTGTCGAAGTCGGCGCACGACCTGCAGTGGGCGAGCGATTAGGCGCAAGGAGAGAGTGGACTATTGTTCGATTGGTTCTTCCAGTACGGGGAGATATTAGACGTATGTTGCAGTTGTTTACTACACGAAGAATTTAACCACACCGAACGTATCACTATAGGATACCCATTAGATCACATCAACCCCGTGATCACTCATACCATTCACTTTCCGGGGCTAAATGTCAATTTTAATATAACGAACGTGCGTCTGCATGTGTGCCCCACGATTTCTTTTCGGATTTTAATGGTTTAATGTAAATCTTGGTATACGTATCCACTTCAAGGTACTTTTCTAGTCCTATAAAAGCACTGCAACACAACCATAAATGTATGTAGCTATAGCTTTTTACTGGGCTTGGCGCCGCACTGACGAAGCGCTGACACGGCCGTGACACATCGTTGACAAGGCACTGACGCGGCGTGGGGCGCTTGACAAGGTAAGGACGATTGCACAATGACTCAAACCCAAGATGAGATCACCATTAAAACATTACAGGAGGGGCATTCCCAAGCTGTACAAATGCGGAGGACAAGCATTATAAATGTGCAGTGAGTGGTCCATGTCAGCACTCCAGGGCCTATATGCCAACACCGATGGAGATCCAACATTCAATATTGGAGTATTCGTTGTATCCAATGTGTTTAGAAATCATTTCGAGCGATCAAAAGTCATTGGCGCACAACCGTGGCAGGCGCGACACCACTCGGATCCGCGTCATTTGAATGGCACAGAGTCCTATCGTGCCAATATGGTGGATACCAAGCATTTCATCGATTCGCTTGCCAGCGGGGATCATCACATCCCTTACACAGCAGTCTATAAGTAACTCCAAGAAAGTCAGCGAATACTAATACTCGCCCAGAAACCCTTCATAAACTCCTTTGTATCACTCCTTGTGGAATATAACCTGAGACACGGTTTGCAATGGCACACATCGCAGTCTCCCCCACCGTTTTTGTTACCGCACCTAACACTCTCCACGATGTCATCGCTCAAGCTGTCGACCGATATCCGTTACATGAACTTTGTTTCATATCCTCCTCGGCACGTGACTCCTCCATTCGGACGAAGACCTTCAGCACGTTCAACCAATATGTTCGCAACCTTGCACGGGCCATGCTCGAGTGGGGGAAACCCACAGGCTCGATTATAGTCGTGTACCTGACGGAGCACCAAGATAATATGGCTGCTGTTTGGGCGTGTATGCTGGCTGGCTATCTGCCTTGCTTACAGCCCGTGCTTAGCGCTCAACAGGCGCACAAGGAGGGCCATATTGCGCATATTAAGAACTTGTTTGGGTCTGCGACTTGGCTGACCCACAAGACTGGGGCTAAGCAAATCGCTTCCATTCCTGGTCTGGAGGTTCACCTGTTCTCTGAATTAAAATCATTGGGGGAGAAATTTACCGTTGCAGCTGACTGGGTTGCATACGAGGCTAAGCCGGATGACGATGCCATGCTATTCCTGACCTCAGGGTCAACTGGGTTCTCGAAGGTGGTCGTACACACGCACCGTACCATCCTTGCCGCATGCCGTGCCCAGGGACAAAACTATGGTCTAACCTCCGAATCTCGAGTCTTGAATTGTAAGGCGCACATCATTTAAACTTTCTTCCGGAACTTACATGACATGTAGGGATCGGTTTTGATCACGTCGGGGGATCATTGTAATTTCACATCACACCTCTTCTATATGGTGCTTCACAACTCCACGTGCATGCATCTGCTGTCCTTGCTGATCCTCTACGGCTTCTCCGTCTGATCGATGAAAAGGTGAGTCAACCCTCAACCAAAGCATAATGTCTCTCTTATCGTTCTATGTTTAGTCCATCGAACTGGTTTTCGTACTGAACTTCCTGCTCTCCAAGATCACCCATGATCTAGGGCAGCGCACCGACCTTTTCGGGTGCTTGGACCTGTCCTCTATCAAGCGTATCAACAGCGGAGGAGAAGCTATCGTTTCCAAGACCGCGCAAGCCTTTGTGACTACGGTAAAAAAAGTTTAGCAAGAACCCCTCCGCCGTGTCCTTCGTGATCGCCGCTGGATTTGGAATGACAGAAACTTGGTAAGTACACATTATACAGCCTGATGTCTCAGCTAATGGGCCTTTGCAGCGCCGGATGTGTTTACAACTACCCTGTGGATATCCTCGCAACCGAGCCTGCTTGCGAGTTCCTTGATCTCGGTCGTCCCATCAATACTTGCGAGATACATATCGTAGACCCCGCAGATGGGGTCACCCTGCGCCCCGACGGTGAGAGCAGCGAGCTTCAGATTCGGGGACCGATGGTCTTCGTGCGCTACTACAACAATGCCGAGGCTACGTCCTCTAGCTTTGTTGAGGGCGGTTGGTACCGTACCGGATATATTGGCATAGTCGAGAATGGCGTGATGCGCCTCGGCGGTCGCATCAAGGACACCATCATCGTCTTTGGCGTCTCATATGGTATCCCTGAGCTCAAAACCAACCTGCAGACAATTGAAGGGGTGACGCACTCGTTCCTCGCTGCTGCTCCCTACCGCGCTCCTGGGCAGGAAACTGAAGGATTCGTTATTTTCTACTCGCCATCTTTCGACCTCGATGGAGAAGATGCCTCCACCAAGCTCTACGCCACGCACCGGGCCCTGCGGGATATCTGTGTGAAGATGATGGCCCTGCCCCCTCAGTTCATCATTCCCATTCCTGTGAACCAGATGGAAAAGACCACTCTCGGGAAACTATCTCGTGCGCGTCTGGTGAGCCTGTTCAAGCAAGGCCAATTTGCGAAGCACGTCGCCCGCTCTGAGGAGCTTCTAAGCGAGGCTCGCGGCTTTTCCTTCGTCGCTCCGTCCACCGAGACAGAAAAGGGAGTTGCTAAGATATATGCTGGCATCTTCAATCTCGCGGAAAGCGAGGTGTCGGTGAATGACAACTTCTTCGAACTCGGCGGTACTTCCATTGATGTCATCAAGTGAATATATCTGTCACACAGTCAAATGACCTTTACTAACACATATGATTCTCCAGGCTCAAGCGTGAGGGCGAGGCATACTTTGATTTACCTGAGATGCCTACCACGCAAATCCTCAAGAACCCCGTTGTCTCGAGCCTGGCCAATTATGTCGACACCTTGCTATCCAAGGGCAGCCAGACAGAGGAGTACGACCCCATTGTTCCCCTCCAACTTACTGGAAATAAGACACTGATATTCTTCGTTCACGCTGGTGTTGGAGAGGTTCTTGTTTTCGTCAATCTTGCCAACTATTTCCAGAATGAGCGTCCCTTCTACGCGCTCCGTGCTCGTGGCTTCGATGCAGGCCACACCTTCTTCACCACCATGGACGAGATGGTCTCCTGCTATGCCGCAGGAATCAAGAGGACCCAGGCGACGGGACCTTACGCCATTGCGGGCTATAGTTACGGCGGTGTTATTGCATTTGAAATCGCCAAGCGGCTCGAGGCCATGGGCGACGAAGTAAAGTTCTTCGCCCCAGTCAACATTCCTCCTAATATCGCCAAACGCATGCAAGAGATTGATTGGACCGCCGCCTTGCTCCACTTGGCGGGCTTCACTTGGCGGGCTTCGTTGGTCTCATATCGATGCGTGATACCCATGAACTACCTCCTACCATGAGACTGCTCTCGAGGCAGGAGCAGCTCGAGTTCGTGTTGAAGCTATCGCCTCCTGAGCATATCGCCGAGCTCCAGCTGACGCCCGAGAAGCTTGACAAATGGGCGCACCTCGCCAAGTCTCTCAGCGATTGCGGACATGGCTATGTCCCAACAGGCTCAGTTGGTATGTCGTTCACTTTCTCACTTCAGACCTGCTTGCTTACATACCAATTCCTCAGCCGCCATCAATGTTATGCAGACTACTGCCTTTAGCGGATCCAAGGTTGACTGGATCAATAACCAGCTCAGGCCATGGTCTGGTTACAGCCATCGCGCGGCGTGGGCTGACTTCAGCCGTGCCGAGGCATCATTTACTGATGTGCCTGGTGAACACTACACCCTCATGAACTTGGAGCACGTCCCGCAGTTCCAGAAGATCTTCCGCAGCCGTCTTGAGGCTCGTGGGCTGTAGACATTTAGAAGTGCATATTCTGATTATGTGTTGTCTTGGCATCGATGATACTTATTCAACTATCGGTCAACACCTATGCAACATGACTTAGTATGGCTTTATATCATTAACACATTATCATACCATCTAGTGGTACTGTCAAAGTCCGGTTTGCATTTGTATTCTAGTAGTGCGTCTGCTCAAATATTATACTTCTACCTCTAGTTTCAACCGGGACCAAACCACTGATGCAAGGAAGGCCCTGAACATTGCATGATACGCATCTGAGAACAGCCTGAAGGTCTATCACTCTTTTCCATCCACATACGTCATTCTCAGATGGGGGAAGCACAGACGGGAAATTTCTGTGAATAAGGGCCATCCTTCATGCAACTGACATAGAGAGTTGGGCAACTATGAGGGGAGAGTTTTGAAAATATCGGACATCGCACTGAATGTACAGCAGTAAGATTTGGTCGTAGTCTGGTAGAGTAGGAAACACTCGTGCAGCACAAAAAACAACTGACTTGTGAGAGCGAGTACATTTATAGCAGCAGAACAGAACAAAAAAAGTAGCGAGGAAGGGTTTGTACCGAGAGTCTGAGACAAAAAGAGACATTGTACAAATCGTGGGTAGAGTGTAGATCTCCATCTTCCATGAATAAAATACCCACATTCCAAAGGCGCAGTGTCATCATTGAGAATATTATCACAAAGACAGGGCAGCCTCCTGTTCTCGACACTTGTGCCATGATATGCCATGTGCGAAACGACGTAAGTCGAGCTGCGAGGGATGGTCGTGGATCACCAGCGTGTTGCCTGGGAAATACATAGCCGGGTGGAAATGGGGTGGGATCGAGAGGAGAATCCGTCCTTCAGGTCCTACAACCCATCCTTCCTTGGTCAGGATAAGAGGGGATGGAGTGCGAGAACCTTGCAGAAATGGGGAGGGGTGATAAAGAGCGTGGGCTGGGTCAAGTGAGAAACATATTGCAGGTGCCTTGAGTTGGTCCCGGTTAACAAAATCTAGATCCCACACCCGGATGGTCCTGTCAGATGAACCGGACACGATCTTTTTGCTATCGGGAGAGATTGCAACGGAGTAAACATAGCCAGTGTGGCCTCGGAGAGGGGATCCCAGTGCCTCACCAGTCTCCATATCCCACAGACGGATTGTCTTGTCGGATGAACCGGACACAATCGTTTTGCCATCGGGAGAAATTGCGACAGAGTAAACATGGCTAGTGTGGCCTTGGAGAGGGGATCCAAATGCCTTGCAAGTCTCCATATCCCACAGACGGATCGTCTTGTCGAATGAACCGGACACGATGTGTCTGCCATCGGACGAGATTGCCACAGACTGAACCCGGTCAGTGTGACCTCGGAGATAGGCAATCAATGCCTTGGTCTCCACATCCCATACGCCAACCATACTGTCACCTGATCCAGACACAATGTGTTTACCATCGGGCGAAATTGCGACGGAGAAGACCTCCTTAGTATGACCTCGTAGACAGGCTACCGACACCTTAGTCTCCACATCCCACACGCCAATCGTCGTATCACGTGAACCAGACACAATGTGTCTGTCGTCACGGGAGATTGCAACAGACCAAACCCAGTCCGTGTGCCCTCGAAAAGGGGGACCCGATGCCTCGCCCATCTCTGTCTCTGTCTCTGGCTCTATCTCCACGTCCCTCACCCTGATCATGTTGTCACCCAAACCAGGTTCAAAGTGTTTCTCGTCCGGCGAGATTGCGGTAGCGTGACCTCGGAGATGCGCACCCAACACCTCGCCAGTCCCCATATCCCACACCCTGATGGTATTGTCGTCTGAACCGGACACAATGCGATTTCCATGCTGCGTGATTGCAATGGAGTTGACAGGTTCAGTGTGGAGAGCGGTACCCAATACCTTGCCAGTCCCCATATCCCACACCCGAATTGTCTTGTCATCTGAACTGGACACGATGCAATTTCCATCTGCTGAGACTGTGACAGAGCTAATGGACTCAGTGTGGCATTGGAGACCGGCGCCGAATGCCTCGCTAGTACGAATGTCCGCATCCCAAACCAGTATCGTCTTGTCAGATGAACCAGACACGATGTGTTTGCCATCGGGAGAGATTGCGACAGAATACACGAGGCCGGTGTGGCCTTGGAGAGGGGGTCCCAATGCCTCCCTAGTCATCGTGTCCCACACTCGGATCGTCTGGTCATGTGAACCAGACACGATGTGATTTCCAGTCGGCGAGATTGCGATAGAATACACGGCGCTAGTGTGGCCTTGGAGAGGGGCACCAAGTGCCTCACCAGTTTCCTTATCCCACACCCGGATTGTTTTGTCCTCTGAACCAGACACAATGAATTTCCCATCCTGCGAGATTGCGACAGACTGAACACAGCCGGTATGACCTCGGAAAGGAGCACCAAGTGCCTCACCAGTCTCCTTGTCCCACACCCGGATCGTGTTATCATTTGAACCAGACACGATGTATGTCCCATCATTCGAGATTGCAACAGAAACGACCCAGTTAGTGTGCCCTCGGAGAGGGGCACCCAATGCCTTACCACTCCACATATCCCACACCTGGACGGTCGTGTCAAACGAACCAGATACATTAAATTTCCCATCCTGCGAGATTGCGATAGACCGAACATAGTCGATGTGGCCACGCAGAGCACCCAATGTCTTGCCAGTGGCCGCATCCCACACCCGGACCGTGTTGTCAGATGAACCCGACACAATTCGATTTCCGTCCGGCGAGAACGCGACAGACCAAATGAAGCCAGTGTGGCCTTCAAAAGGGGCTCCAAATATCTCGCGAGTCTTCATATCCCACACCTGGATTGTTCCGTTGTGTAAACCACACGCGATGCGTTTTCCATCTTGCGACATTGCGACCGACAAAACATCGGCATTCATGTGGAGTGCTTGTTCCACCTGAGGCCACTTTAAGACATGACCGGAAACGATGCGGAGTGTACAAGGATACTTTTCGGAGAACTTTTTAAATATCATCGACTGAGTTGCAGTAAAGGGAAGAGCCGACAAGTATAAATGTGGAGTGGAGTGTAGCATCGTGGCCCCAAAAAGTCGAACGAAGCGCTGGGCATCGCTTGCGGCATCACTGATGTGCTTGTAGTCGGTATGACCCTACGACCACCCATTTTCCATAAGATCAACTGGACCACAGAATGAGTTCAAATCACGCACCTTAACCCATGTCGCTATAGATGAGAGGGTCTGTACTGAACCGCTGAGGCCCTTGATCAGAGCCAGTGCTTCCAACCACCAAAGGAGGCGCTCTTCGTCAAAGAAATCTTCAACCTCCTTAGCGAGTGACGGGTTGAGGGATGCAGCTCCCACGTGAGTCCCCCAGAACCGACATGAGTAAGATAGTTCAGTCGGAATGGACTCTTTGACTCGTTTCTCCAAGTCAGGGACAGAAGAGTTGGGTAAGTAAGAACTCTCCAAGGAGCAAATATTGAAGCGAAGTCCGCGCTCCATAACCCGAAGCGAGGCAAAGGCAAGGTCGTTGTGTACCGATGACGCATCAACGAAGAAGTCACGACTGCGGGATTTGTCTGTTAGAAAGTCGTAGAAGGATGCGTGGAGAGGACGTATGGGGGTCTGAGGATCCGAGGTGCCAGAGACAAGCGAGCCAAGATGGCGCATGAGCAGGTTCACGTCGTCTGGGTCACCGTCACGGTCGCATGAGAAATGCTGCCGCATCGCGGCCAATGCACTGATAGGAAGTGGTTCTGACAATGCAAGAATTTGCCCCATCACAGAGCGAAATATAGGGATCGCTTCCTCGTACACGGGCCCTGGCATGATGTCTGCCAAGATGCGTTGGTACATCTCATCCAACAGATGCGCTCCTTTGGTGGACGTTTCCGAAATGTCATGGAAACGGCGCATTGGACCCCGGCTCACGATGTTCGTACTCTTGATATATTCAGAGGCAAGACGAGCCCATTCAAACAGGCCATCGGACTTCAGAGCGAGCGTTTTGAAGTGATCATCGTTGAAAATGTTGCGTAGATCTTCCAGCTTGTGGGCAATATAAAGCTGAATATCTTGTTCTGTGGAAACAGACGAGATGCCATCCAAGGAGAGATGGCGAACATGTGGTGCGGCGTGCAGGGAGTTGTGAATGTCTTCGAGTGGACGGGAAGTGACGAGAATGCGGAAGTTTGCTGGGAGCTCGGTCACTCGGGAGGGAGAAGCATTCAGCTTGCCAGCAAGCAAACGAAGAATCTGTTCCCGAGAATTAGCTTCACCACTTTCGTCCAATGCCTCAATGACGATCAGGACGGGTGCAGCAATGTCTTTCGAGGCCATTCCTGTCGGTCCTACTATTAACTCCTGCCATTGTCTTTTGATGTCTGTGGTGTGCCTAAGCTCGTTGCGATCATGAACCGCACGCGCCAACGCGCGCCGCATGATAGGATCGCAATCAGCCAAGTCGCGTGCTATCGTGGTGAATATTTTCTCGTGGCGATGATCCGCTCCGCGTGTGCGATCAAAGCAGAAACACGCTCCCAGACCGCCTTGCTCATTAGACCAGTTGGCTATGGTATGAGCAATGGCCGATTTGCCCTTCCCTGCAGTTCCGGACAACCACAAGACGCGCGGCACGTCCTCTCCCGTGTTACAGATCCAGGACTTAATCTCGGACAGAATGTCTTCCCGAGTGTCTGGGAGACAAAGCTTAGATGTATTGAAACCGGCGCCGTCCGAATACACCATGCCGCTGAAGTCCAGATCCTCGCCTAGGACACCCGTCGTCGAACGTCAACATAGGGTTCAGAGTAAATTTGAGGTCAATTCTTACCGGCACGATGAAGAATGATCGCAGCGTCACGAGTCGCTCGATCTCGGAATTGCTGCATGAGACCATCGAGAGCCACGCTGTAGCTCTGAATCATGGCGTCTGTTTCGTCACTGATGTGTTTGCCAAGTCTTTTCCCTGTGCCAAGAAAGAGGCGACATTCAGTCACAGGCGATGCAGTAGTAGAATCAACTCACAGGCACTCTTCGTCTCGGAGTAATGGACAATGAAATCGGCGCACTCCAGAATCTGTCGCGCAATCTTGCCATATATTGCTAGCATGGATTGAATCTTGACCAATGCTTCGTCTTCCTTGATGAAAACATAGACTTCCGACATCTTCGTGAGCAGGCGTGAAACATCATCATCGCGTTTTGCTTGATCGAGAACCATCTATTACCAGAATCTCGTTAACATGCCAAGACCCTGATATTAAAATAAGCACACCTTGGCAGCACAAGTGAAGATACTCAACGCCATCTTTGCATAGGGATGGAGCTACGCACCAAGGTCAGCCACGTACAAAATAGAGAGAGAAACTTGTACATCTGCGAGCCCGTTAGCGACGGAGTTGAACGCCTTCAAGGATGCAAGACTTGCGGAAAACGTGTCGAGTGTATCGGGAACGGACTGCATGTCGTTGCTTGCCGAAGCAAAGTTTTGGACCATTCCTGAGACATTTTTCATGCCTGCTATACCTTTGGTGGCATCGGCGATTCTTCCTTCCACGAACTTCGAATCAGGTTGTTCAGCCTGATGACAACATTGAGTACATGATCGACAAAGAGACACCAATGTTCCAAGGTACAATAGTCCTTACCTCTGCAACGCCTAAATTGGAAGACTGATCGGGATTTGGCTCGTGAATGAGAACGGTGTATGGTGAAAGGTCCTGTGGCAGCAATTGGCGGTAATCATTGCTCACGAGAAATGCACAGATGTGAAATTACGCATACCTTGGTTGTCTGAACAGGTTGAAGATCCTGTGCGCTGGAACTTGCAGCCGTGGATTCAAGGTTCGAAGACTGTCGAGCGCTTGAAGCAGAACGGTCGGTAACCTTGCGCAAGAACTTGGGAACCAATTCCGGGAGTCCTCTGTGATTCATCACAGGCGGGAGAGAGGACGGCTAGAGCTATATCGTTAGAAACAACGCGTAGTTGTTAAGGCAGTAGTTCATACATTCTGAACGGCTGCCCTCCTCTGCTCTGCCAATCGAGAGTCTGACTGGCTTTGCTTCAGCCACCCCCAGCGTTTCTTCCGAGAAGGATTGTCTTCATTCATCGAGTAAGTATAAGTTTGAAGAGGTCTCTAGGTGAAAAAAAAGAGGAATGTGGTGGATATCACGCAGAGTGGACAGGCGCCTGCCACATCAGCACAGAAGATGTTTAAATGCCGAACGTGTTTGGAAGCGCCCGAAGTTATCGCTCACAATATAATTTGGGCAACTTGAAGGACAAAAAGGCTGTTAGGAAACTTGCCGTTGTTAACGTTGGTGTCCTCCTATATATATGGTCTGCACGAAAGAATATAGTCATGGTGCTCATGCGCAGTGCACTCACAAGTCGCGACAGGCTTGGTCCTTGGAACAACAAAGTTCATATTTCTTTACCACGAAAGCGAAGTAAGGACAAATGGTGCGGTGAGAGTTTATTTGTGCATGCTTGGTTCACGTTCTTGCCAATATTATGCGCCTTGACCTCTTCGTTAACTTACAAGCAGCAGTACTAGTACTTGCACGTGGTACTTCAATACAGCAATACTACATTATGTCTTGCCACGACACGACTGCAATCAAAATAATATAGAGCAAACTTCATGCATGCTTCATGCATGGATCAGGTTTAAGAACGAACATCTTCCCGCTTCCCGTATACCGCCCGACCCGAGTCGGGATGGTGCACTCGGCAACAACCTTGCTTGCATCCAGCCAGAGGCTGGGCTATCAGTATGATGAATACATTGTTAAAGAGACGAGAGTATACAATATCATGTAGCACGTCATTCGTGCATCATAGACACATACACAGCAGTTACAAATTGATGACTGCGACATCGTCCAGCGTCGTACGAAGGGTCATGTGTTTCGAAGGCACACAGCAGATTTGTGAGAGACATCGCACAGGACTAACTAAGTTTGAGTGAAAAGATCGGTGTGACACACAAGTATCATTGGTGTTACTGACATAGTGATCACGGTGAACTCCTGTAAGCCTGCACCACTCAGTGTCAGGCATGAGCACAAGTCAGAGATCGGCACTATAGCTGAGTGGAGGCGCGTTTCGATGGTTCTGACTCGGATGAAGGAGACCATCAATAGAAGAAATATAGATGTGTATCAGCGAAAATTGGCTCTTTTTAGTTGCTGGTAGTTCAGTTTGTTTCAAGTCGAAGCTTCGTAGTTTACTGCAGCAGTGGGGCAGTGCGAACGCTTTGTCGATTTACAGCTGCTTGAACTTGAGAAATATTTGTTAGGATCGACGCCATGGCACACGCAAGAGTTACATACAAGAAATACTAGCATAGAGTAAAAACGCGAAACTGGCTATATTGGACATATAGTAGCCTGCGCCGAACTGGTATCCTGCAGGCAGACTTTGTGTTGTTTCAATTCGCATCGCCTTCAAGGAGCCTGACTGGGACTTGGAGGTGCTGCTTGAAGCAGAAGTTTGGCACAAAATTTGCGTCCATCATGTGCGTTGGCACCGGTACCTGGTGACCTGCACGTGCGGACTTTGGGACCATCAAAATGTTAATATCCCTAACGAGCGTGTGTATCTACTCGACGAAATTTTCGATCTCAAATGATTCATGTAACCCTGTATTACCCGACTCGCTGCAACAAAATGCTTATCGGATCCTATAAAAAGCGCAATTGAAACACAACCATAGATTATCTATAATAATTTCAATTTTCTTCGACGTGGCGTATCGGCCTGCTTTTGACGCGGCACTGACGAAGTGTTGACGCGGCCGTGACGCAGCATTGATGAGGCACTGACGCGGCACAGTCACGGTGCGCTTGACCAGGTAAGGAAGATTACACTAAAACCCAGCCTAGATCACCATTACAACCATACCGGAGGGGCATCCCTGATGCTGCAAACGCGCAGGACAAGCATTCTAAATGTGCAGTGAGAGGTGCATTTCAGCACTCCGGGGCCATACATACACTGACGCAGATCGATAGACATTCATTATTGAAATATCCATTGTATTCAATGTTTTAAAGAATCATCTCCAGCGATCAAAACTCATTTGCGCACAACCGCTGCGTGACAGGCTCGACACGACTCGGATCTGCTTCATTTTTAGTTTAGCGTGGTCTCGGCGAGCCACTTGTACTGCAGGGTCCTATCGCGCCAGTGTGGTGGATACCAGTAGATACCGTGTCTTCCGTCAACTCACTTGCCAGCGGGGACCATCACGTCCCTTCGCAGCAGTCTATAAGTAATTCCAACAAAGTCTGCAAATGCTCACCCAGACTCCTTTATAGAAAGACCTTCGTATTACTCCTTGTGGACGTTAACCTGAGAGACAGCTTGCAATGGCACACGTCGCAGTCTCCCCCACCGACTTCGTTACCACACCCAATACTCTCCACGGTGTCATCGCTCAAGCTGTCGACCGCTATCCATCACATGAGCTTTCTTTCATATCCTCCTCGGCACATGACTCCTCCATTCAGACGAAGACCTTCAGCACGTTCAATCAATATGTTCGCAACCTTGCACGGGCCATGCTCGAGTGGGGCAAACCAACAGGCTCCATTATAGTCGTGTACCTGACGGAGCACGAAGATAATATGGCTGCTGTCTGGGCGTGTTTGCTGGCTGGCTATCTGCCTTGCTTACAGCCCGTGCTTAGCGCTCAACAGGCGCACAAGGAGGGCCATATTGCGCATATTAAGAACTTGTTTGGGTCTGCAACTTGGCTGACCAACGAGCTTGGGGCTGAACAGATCGCTTCCATTTCTGGTTTGGAGGTTCACTTGCTCTCTGAATTGAAATCATCGGGGGAGAAATTTACCGTCGCAGCTGACTGGGTTGCATACGAGGCTAAGCCGGATGACGATGCCATGCTGTTCCTGACCTCAGGGTCAACTGGGTTCTCGAAGGCGGTCGTCCACACGCACCGTACCATCATTGCCGCATGCCGTGCCCAGGGCCAAAACTACGGCCTGACTTCCGAATCTCAAATCTTGAACTGTAAGGCGCACATCATTTAACATTTCTTCCAGAACTAACGTGACATTCAGGGGTCGGTTTTGATCACGTCGGGGGATCATTAACATTTCACATCACACCTCTTCTATATGGTGCTTCGCAACTCCACGTGCATGCATCTGTTGTCCTTGCTGATCCTCTACGGTTGCTCCAACTGATCGACGAAAAGGTGAGTCAACCCTCCACCAAAGCATAACGTTTCTCTCATCGTTCTATCTTTAGTCCATCGAATTGGCTTACGCACCGAACTTCCTGCTCTCTAAGATCACCCGTGATCTAGAGCAACGCACCGACCTTTTCGGGTGCTTGGACCTGTCCTCTATCAAGCGTATCAACAGCGGAGGGGAAGCTATCGTTTCCAAGACCGCGCAGGCTTTTGTGACTACGATGAAGAAGTTTAGCAAGAACCCCTCCGCCGTGAACTTTGTGATCGCCGCCGGATTTGGAATGACAGAAACTTGGTAAGCATGCTTAAGTCGGCCTGATGTCTCAGCTGATGGGCCTTTGCAGCGCCGGATGTGTTTACAACTACCCTGTGGATATCCTCGCAACCGAGCCTGCTCGCGAGTTCCTTGATCTCGGTCGTCCCATAGATACCTGCGAGATACGTATCGTAGACCCCGCAGATGGAGTGACCCTGCGCCCCGACGGTGAGAGCGGCGAGCTTCAGATTCGGGGACCGATGGTCTTCGTGCGCTACTACAACAACGCCGAGGCTACGTCCTCCAGCTTTGTTGAGGGCGGCTGGTACCGTACCGGTGATGTAGGCATCGTCGAGAATGGCGTGATGCGCCTCGGCGGTCGCATCAAGGACACCATCATCGTCTTTGGCGTCTCATACGGTATCCCTGAGCTCGAAACCAACCTGCAGACAATTGAAGGGGTAACACACTCGTTCCTCGCTGCTGCTCCCTACCGCGCTCCTGGGCAGGAAACTGAAGGATTCGTTATTTTCTACTCGCCATCTTTCGACATCGATGGAGAAGATGCATCCGCCAAGCTCTTCGCCACGCACCGGGCCCTGCGGGATATCTGTGTGAAGATGATGGCCCTGCCCCCTCAGTTCATCATTCCCATTCCTGTGAACCAGATGGAAAAGACCACTCTCGGGAAACTATCTCGTGCGCGTCTGATGAACCAGTTCAAGCAAGGCCAATTTGCGAAGCACATCGCCCGCTCTGAAGAGCTTCTCAGCGAGGCTCGCGGCGTTTCCTTCGTCGCACCATCCACCGAGACAGAAAAGGGAGTTGCTAAGATATATGCTAACATCTTCAACCTCGCGGAAAGCGAGGTGTCGGCGACCGACAACTTCTTCGAACTCGGCGGTACTTCCATTGATGTCATCAGGTGAATATATCTGTCCTGCGGTAAAACAACCTTTACTAACACATATGATTCTCCAGGCTCAAGCGTGAGGGAGAGGCATACTTCAATCTACCTGAGATGTCTACTACGCAAATCCTCAAGAACCCCATTGTCTCGACCCTTGCCAACTATATCGACACCTTGCAATCCAAGGGCGTTCAGATTGAGGAGTACGACCCCATTGTTCCCCTCCAGCTTACTGGAAATAAGACGCCGATATTCTTCGTTCACCCTGGTGTTGGAGAGGTTCTCATTTTCGTCAATCTTGCCAAATATTTCCAGAATGAGCGTCCCTTCTACGCGCTCCGTGCTCGTGGCTTCGATGCCGGCCACACCTTCTTCACCACCATGGACGAGATGGTTTCCTGCTATACTGCAGGAGTCAAGAGGACCCAGCCGAAGGGACCATATGCCCTTGCGGGCTACAGTTACGGCGGTGTTATTGCATTTGAAATCGCCAAGCGGCTCGAGGCCATGGGCGACGAAGTGAAGTTCTTCGCTCCCGTCAATATTCCTCCTAATATCGCCGAACGCATGCACGAGATTGATTGGACCTCCGCCTTGCTCCACTTGGCGGGCTTCGTCGGTCTCATATCGACACATGATACCGATGCACTAGCTCCTACCGTGAAACCGCTCTCGAGGCGGGAGCAGCTTGAGTTCGTGTGGAAGATATCTCCTCCTGATCGTATTGCCGAGCTCCAGCTGACGCTCGAGAAGCTTGACAAATGGGCGCACCTCGCCAAGTCTCTCATCGACTGCGGACATGGTTATGTGCCAACAGGCTCAGTTGGTGCGTCGTTCACTTTCTCACTTTAGGACTGCTTGCTTACATACCCATTCCTCAGCCGTAATCGATGTTATGCAGATCACTGCCTTTGATGGATCCAAGGTTGAGTGGATCAACAACCAGCTCAAGCCATGGTCTGGCTACAGCCGTCGCGCGGCGTGGGCTGACTTCAGCCGCGCCGAGGCATCATTTACTGATGTTCCTGGGGAACACTACACTCTCATGGACTTGGACCACGTCCCCCAGTTCCAGAAGATCTTCCGCAGTCGTCTCGAGGCTCGCGGACTATAGACGTTTATAGGGGCGTATTCTGATTGTATGTCGCCTTGCATCGATGATATTTATTCAACTATCGACCCACACCAATGAAACATGACTTAGTAGGGCTTTATACCATCAACACATCATTTGACTAGCAAGTCTTCTTCAAATCAGAATTACTAAATTACCTTTGCCCAAACCACCCTACGAGTTTGTCCTGTATATCAACCTATACGTAGAATTTTTACTTTCGGCCAATCGGAGATGAAACATGCCTCATCTGTGGATAGCCGTGAGCCTCCCGGAGGTCTAGTTCTGCGCGTAATTCACCGGCGTTGTCGCAGGCTAGGTTCATGGATTTCATCACCATCCAGCACATGATTATAGTGGTTACTGACTGGATGCTTGGTAGATGCCAGCTCACTGCTCCATGATGTAATAACTTGGAAGGGCCCAGAAGCTATCGAGAGTCTAGTAACAGGTACCATTTGCCCGGTTTCTGTATTTGCATAATCCGCCAGACATACTTCGCGAGTTCTTTGGTTCGGTTCGATGAACTTCGGTCGATGATGATATATTCACCCGATTTTCAGATTTGCAGTGATGTGGCAGACTCAGGCTCAATAGCCAAGCGAATCGTCGGAGCAGGGTCAAACGTCACTACGAAAAGTAGAACATACCAGCGACGAGATCTCATAGGCTTGAGCGGTTACCGGGTTCATATCAGTAGCCAAGCCAGCGGTTGTTGTGTCGCAATTCTTATATCTTTCGAATCTCTGTCCAAGACCTTGAAGCAAGCTCGTCTGAGTCTCTCTTGGATCTGTTGGAACTGTCCCTATGCACGATGCAGCTCATCATTCGGTTCGGCTGAATGGCGCAAATGGCTCCCAATTCCAGAGAGAAACTTCGCTGCATCGTAAATCAGTTTGGAGAGTCTGAAATGGTGTTGTCAGGTATTGGAAAAATACCAGAATGAACACTGACGGGATTGCGGCTCTGGCATACTCGAGAACAGCGATGTATTCGTCCTTGGGTGAAGGAGCGGAAACGCTGAATTTACTGATATTGTTGGCTAGTATTGTAATAGTGAGCGTTTTCCGGGGACGTTACATGGACGTTGCCGATAGCAGTCGTTGAATAGATTATAGGTACTTTAGAAACTCCTTCAACGGGGTTCTGCCATCACAACTCACGAGTTGACCCACCAATTACTAGGCGTATTCCTCATTTTATTCAGTGGACCCCGGAGCACGCATATCGTGCAATGTGTGATTCGACCAGGACGCACATGGCCTGTGGTGGACAACAGGCGCGGGTCCATTTTTTTGTGCGGGTTTTGTTATAGAAAAGCTTTGCCTGGCTGTGGTAGAGACCAGTTATCTTATCTACCGTACCATCACAAAGTGTTTGATACCGCGGAACCAATTCACGTCGATTCCATGTGCGCGCTCCACTCGAGTCCCTTTGATGTTCCACTCTGAGTCAGGCATGTACTCCGATCAGGCTTGGCGCTGCAATTGAGCCCCTTTCACGCCCTGCTGCGTTGTCACTCCCAGTTCGCCATGGCGTCCTGCTGCTCCTTCCGCGGTACTGTTGGCATTTAGAATGCAAATCCCTATATCCTTGAGAAGAATCGGTTCTGGGGAATGGACGGATTTGTTATCAACGATGAACCACCTTGGACCACCTGCAAAATAATGGTCCGCATGAGTCGGATCCCGCATACAAGCGAATCAGTGCCAGCCCTATCGCGTAACACCGTTAATCACGTTACCGCTACTGACCACGGTGGTGGCTTGACCGGGTGGTGCTGGAACTTCATCTCGTCAATGTTTTTGTACTGGCAAGCGAATGATCACTACAAGTACGTGAGTAGCGTTGAAAATTATGTGGATACAGTGAGTGACCAGCCCCCTAACTCAGATACAGGTTTACCAAATGGGTTGGAACTTGGCAGGTGTTCGGACGTTATTCCAGATGCCGCGGTGGTGGACCAATACATAATCAGGGGAAGGATCAATTTTTGACAAGTGCTGCAATACCATGTCGTACACTAGTCTGACAGACACGTGTAAGTAGGCAGTGAAAACCAGGGGTGTAGCGTACCCTTCAGAATGTGCGTCTCGGGATGTTGCAATCAACCACTGCCCTGGTACTTGAGTTGTTATGTTCTAAATCGAAGCGCTCCTGTGTCTGAGATCAAATCAGCAACCTCGGCTGCGTGTGGAGAAAACGGCATTCCTGGGCACCCGTGAGTGTTGCAGCCCCGGTCCCTGAATGTGCATGACCTGTGGCGTTGAAGTGCTGTGACACAATGCTCTGCGCCTCGCAGACTACCAGTGATTAGTATGGAGAAGCCTGGGAAAATAATGGAGATACAACAATAAAATAAAATCATGGCTTCGAGTCCAAGGACTGGACATTGGAACATATCAACTCTAAAACATTCGATGAAAGCAAAATTTCCCATTGGGAATCACATGTCTTGTTGAAATGCACTGCACACGCACTAGATAGAGGAACGCGGGAGGAGCGGACTCTAATACCTGTAATGTTATAGGCAAGTTGAAATCATGATGCTCAGAAACACGTTCGGGCGATACAACAAGACCGCGGTCTAAGAGGCTTCGCGGTAGACAGTTTCAATAGTATCAATTAGCTGTGATCAGACACAATAAGAAGCTGCACCAAGTACAAGGCAATTATAACTTGCCTCATGAATTGCAGTATTATATGGCGGTAGGCGGCGTAATGTGTGAGATGTGTACTATATAGTTTGAATGTGCCACAAACACCTTGTTGTCGTTACCAGTGTGTTTTTACCGATGTAATATATGCCAGCTGTCGGTAGAAGAACTGATTGTGACATCGTGCATCCGTACGTACTACTCTCGCACAATAATTGATGGTCAGTGCAGGCAGAACAACACATATGGAGAATGCATACCTTCTTAAAGTCTAGACCTCCGTGGCATCGGTATCTACGAGGTAGATGACTGCAAAATTCTGCACTTTCCGAGTCTGAGGCGAAGTGGAGTGCCTCGTCCATCGTCATGCGTTATGATTTCGGTCGTGGCGAAATCGAACCATGATTCATGACGACGCGATTCTCTTTGCATTTCGTGACACGGCAGATGCAACAACAGGTGTGGAAGAAAGTGTTTGACGAGGAATGGTACCTTCCCGAAACTGGTCACCCTTACTACGGTCGCTCAACTCCTTTTGAGATCTACTTGAACTAATCACCCTATGTATACAGAGTCCAGGGTGCCGGTGATCATAGGTGCATGCTAGATAGTCGCGGTGTGGGATGAGGTCATGCAAATTGCCTGAGAGGAAAAGACCCTCAACAAGATTACATAATACAGGTCTGGAACGCGACGATCTGGCGTCACACCGGATCAATTGGCAGAACTTTGTTAATTCTTCTCCCGAAACACCCAAAACCCGTATACTGTGTGACAGCAGTCACAGCACTAGTACTCCTTCAAGCCCCCATATCATACTAAGCAAGCACATCAACACTCGGACTTGAAAGGCAGCGGTGAAGGACAAGCTCACTTGTGTTCAACAGGTGAAGTCATCCCCATCGGAAGTCACGACACAGCAGTTTTTACACGAGCATGCCGTGTAGGATGTAATTTTGTTATTTGATCCACAGAAATACCCATAATCGTCACCGTTGTTCCAACCTTTGATGCCAGTTGAGCACCCCACTGAATCTGCGGATAGCCGTTAGCACGCGTTCCAAGGTCTACACATATGCTGGAAAAGTGCTCACCGGCGTTGTCGCATGGTAGGTTCTGGGGTGTTATCACCAGGTCTTCGGATGCGATAGCTACGCCAGCCATCGCTGCGGCAGATATGATTATAGTGGTGAGTGAAGTGAATTTCATCGCTGCAACTTGATGGTGTTGTCTGGGTCAAAAGCTAGCACATTGGCTTTTATACACAAAGAGGAGCCAAAAAATCTATATGTGCTCGCATCAATGGACGATTGGCAATGAAAATGCCAGCTCATGCTCCGTGGCATAATTTTCTTTCCGAGGCCTCAAGAGTACCATGATACGCATGTCAATAATTCACTAAATTGTCGCATCCGCTTGATGGGGCAGACGTAATCCGCACGAGTTCCTTTGGTACGGTCACTACAATGTATGGTACATACAGCTCAGTGAACTTTGGTCAATGAGGATGACTTATTCACAAATTTCACATGATTTGCAGTGATGTGGCAGACGCACTCACCGGGTCACCAACCATATATGCATCTAAACATTCAATAATCAAGCGTGAGCAGTGTCACGGTGCATGACCTTTTGTCATCACCAACTACTGGTAGCCAGACCAGTGGTTGCGGTGGTGTATTACCGAGTATGTTACTAATATTGTATGGCTCCAATATCACGACCACGAGTTGATCCAACCATTACTAGTAGGCGTATTCTGGGTATTCATTAGCAGACCCCAAAGTACGCAGACCGCCCAAATATGTTTCAATGTACCTTCAATGAACCTACAGTAGGATTCAACAGGTGCAAGCTCATTGTGTATTGTGTGGGTTCTGTTATGGATGATTTTTTGTGGGGAACGGCTTGTTGGCAGTGGGGACGATGGAAATTAAACGAGGAAGCGAAGCAGTCATTTAAAGACTGATCAGAAGAATCCATAAACCACCAATGGGTCTTGACTCTTGAATGTCCTCCCCTTGGCAGAAGAAGACATCCACGGTCATTCCTTTATGCAAAGTACTACATAAGTAATCAGGCCCGTTTTCCCCCCTGACCTTTGCGTGCGAGCTTGACACTGGACGCGTTAGACATCCCAAACCCGGATAATTTCCTACCCGTGGTTAATCGACGACGATCGGCTCGCATACTGTTTGTTGTATTGTACTTCAACAAACATCCGCATAAGTCGCGTCTCACAAACCTGTCGGATCTGCGAGCCACTATCGTTTAATACTCCTAAACACGGTACCGTCATCACTGACGGTGGTGGCTTGATCGGGTGGTGCAGTAATTGATCTCATCAATAACTGGCACGCCCCGCAAGCGAATAACTAGCTAGACGTCAGTACGTGGGTGGCGTTGACAATCGGATCAGGTGTACCAGCTGGTCCTAGTTGGGTTGGGTTGGCAGGGGTTTGGACTTTCAGCGTCATTCGGACCAAATGGACCGCGGCGTTGGACGTGTTCTAGTACTAATCAGTGCTAAATTTGACATCGTGACGTACACTGGACAGATGCGTGTAGGTTAGGCGGTTCAAATTATTGATGTGGCGCACCATTTGAATCATCTCGAATCGCTGTTTTGGTTCGCAGCAATGCAGTGCTGCTATAGTCCTCTCACGCAATGCATGCGGTAGTCTGGTATTGTTTTTAAGTTTGCACCTTGCCAAGGATGCGTCGTTGCCCTGATCCTGGAAAAGTTAAGTTCCGAATCGAGGCGCCCGCATGTCAGTCAAATTAGCAAACCTTGTTACATATAGAAGAAATTACATTCCTGGGCACTCCTGTTGCAGTCTTGATCCCTGAGTATGAGCATCACCTGCGACATTATGAGGCGCTGGGAGCGATAATCGAGAGGTCTCAGGAGAAACTAATAGAGATGTAAAGTCTTGAGGATCGGACCTTGCGTCCAATAATTGGCCATTGGAACATATCTATCGCCGAATATACAATGACAGTGGGAAACGCGGGTCAAGTTTGTTGAGATACATCATTTGACACACGCGCGAGATAGAAGAACGCCACAGGTGCGATGCATGGGACAATAGGGAACCGTATGAGCAAATGAAGATCAAAGCCCCGGTGGATGATACTCAAAGACAGATCTCTGAGGGATGCGACAAGACGGCGGCCTTAGAGGGACCACGACAGAAAACCAATTTCAACGGTATCAATGAGCTGTAATCAGACAATGATCAGATGCACATCAGTGAACTGCGCCTACAAGACCAATCATAACGTACCTCTTATTCGTGGTTCGTTCCAAGTATATAGTACGGTAGTGGGCGATGAGTATTGTCGAGAATCGAGAAGCATCAATGTGTACTATTATGTAGGGTGGCAGTTCCGCAATAATCGACGGTCAATGCAAACAAGATCGTAGACCTATGCATACCTGAAGGTGGAACCTCGCTGTCAGCACTGTGGTACCTGAATCTACTGCAAACTTCTGCATTTTCTCTGATGTGACTTCGCATCAGAGGAAGAGCAGACGGACACAGTAGGGGCATCGTGCATTTTGGTGCCAGTCATGGCCAACTTGGACTGAGTGATCAATACATAGTCCTCTTTAAAATTTCGTCGACACGCCAACCACTGGGCAGCCTGAGGTGGGGGAAGGAAATGGACATAGTGACCATCCTAACTATGCCTGTCATCCCAACCAATCCATTTGGTTAGCTGGAAAAGAAGATGATGAGTGAGTTAACACTGAACCGCGGACCCGAGTTCCAGTGTACAAGTCCAACCTACATGGGACTATGGCAAAGGGTTCAGTTTAAAGAGCTTTGGCGGTGCATAATCTATTAATACTCCTCACATCATTTCGCTTACTAAGGCTTTTTTCAGTGAGCTCGTTCAAACGTGCGACGCTTCTTGAATGTGTCCACTGTTCAACATAGGAACTTGTTAGTACTTGGAGCAAGACTACTATCATAGTAGCCACACTCACTTCGACATTGCAAAACCAGACAGCCTTGAAATCAATCTTGGACACTATGCTAATAACAGCACTTGGACTCGGCGGAAAATAACGAGGAAGGACAACTCACTCGGGCGCTTAGGAGTTGAGCAACGCTCATACGCAAAATTAAAGTCATCTCTATCATCAGTCACCATACGGCACTACGTGTGGCATTCACATGGCGTATGCAGGACATAATTCTGCCCTTAGGCCCACAGAAACACCGTTGTCGTTGTCATAACCTCCCTGGACGTCCGAGTAATTCACGTATGTACTACCTCTTGAAAGTCACCAGGTGTAACAGCTTACCTATTTTTTTTTGCAGCGGTATAAGTTGTAACTCTATGACCGGCGATCTGCGAAGGTACCACTGCCATACAAGTCGAGAGGGTCTTCTCCCGCGTTTCTCCGCAGATTCAAGTCACGACTCTCGTACATCACGAATCATTCTTGCCTTGTTGGCTCTAGTTTCTCCCGCGATTGCGACATGGTGCTGCGCTCGTAACACAGTCTCGTCACTCATTCTCCGTCCCTGAACCTACCGAAGCTACGGGCGGTGTGCTGAGGCTCTATAAAATCAGAAGCTATTTGAGCCAGTGGCGGTAGGTAGCGGCCCATCCGAGATCAGCACCCAGTGGGCGCTGCGCACTGCGCATCGTGATTTCGACGAAATTAAGGTTTTTTGCTCATACAAGTGTCGCGCATTACCCCCTCATTGCCAACCTCTGCATCATGTTGACATGGCAGGAGCTTAACACGCCAAGTTTCCGTGCCCTGATCTGATTATAAATACCATTGACATTCCCCTACTCAAAGTCACATCCCTTAAAAGAGAGTGGAAAGCCAAGCACGCTATTGGAGTCTAACCCGGTGTTCTGTGGGGCACGACAGATTGTGACTAGTCGACCTGCCCCACTTCACAGAGAACTATAACAATGCAAAGCTTGCGGTGGAAAGGGAATCATTATTGCTTGTCACTGGTACCTGCGATAGTGCAGCGGAAGGCTGCTGGGTACAAACAAGAGCTCGACGACGAGCGAGAGTAAGAAGTGCCGACGCCATTTTCCGATCACCCGAAGACGTTACTCTAATGAGCCTAATCCTGTCTAACCCTGTCTTACCGTTCTCGTGCCTCGCTCCCGACGGTGCGCCTTGCGCCACCCAGGGTCCAGGAACACTTTTGTACAATTTGACCAGACACATGTATGTGATGCCGGCCTTGGCTTGCCTCCCACCCTGCCCGCTATCGTAGTTCACACTTATCCTTTCAATTGAGTAGATCAAGGGTCAGAAGGTGGAAAGCGCTTAATTCGTAGTATCACCTTCGTGCCGAATTTCCGAAGGCTTCCTTTCCACCACGAGGGTCGATGGTTTCCGCCTCACGCAAGCCGTGTACAGTCGTGAACTTCAATGGACCTCTTACCAACACAATGGAATTCACATAGCATGCCGTGGAGATGAACTGTAATTCCGCACTGCGACCCTTCACGTATCTTGAGGTCGTGATATTATAATTACCCAGTACAACAGAGATTAGTTAGGGATGAAAAAAAAAACACAAGATGGTAGATATAAATAATAATAGATCTGCCCAGATGACACTACAGCGCATCACAACAACAAGCGATAAGAATGAAGGCGTTCACAGAGGGGCGCGGGTGCAGAGGGGTGCAGATGATAATCAGATGACATTGAGCTCTTCAAGATGATGGCGTAAAATTCCATCACGGACGCCGGCCAATACAGCCTGTGTGGCCTTCGTATCCTGTGCAAACCCTGTGTGAGCCCGGGACAAGAAAGACTGCCAAAAAGTCAACGCACAATGGCAGACGTCTCATGACAAAAGAACGTCCGTGGTCTCGGGGACAATCGTTTCTATGAAGTCCCAATCAGTGTCAATTTCATATCGAAGCACGAGGCGCAACCTACGTGATAAGCTCGGAACTTCTCCTTGAAGTATTTCGTCACGTTTTCCACGTCGTTAGGTGTACTTCCATAGCTCGGCACATATGTTACTACTTTGATCCCCGCTGCGAGTGTTTTCTGGAGAATGTCCATTTTGTTAAGGAACAGGATGATGTTCGCACGCGAGAGGAGGGGATTCGTGCAAACTTCCTTCCAGAGATATATCGAGTCCTCTAGTCGGTTCACTTGTCTGTCTTCATCGAGGACTTGGTTGAATGATAGGGGCGCCAAGAAAATGATAGCTTGAACTACAAGTGATATCAATAACTGAGCCCTTCAGATGTGTCGTTGAAACTTACCGTCATCGAAGTAGGGCACCCACTGGGGTCGCATACTTCTACTGCCGCCGACATCGTAAATGTACCACTCTGAACCTGCGTGTATGAGTCAGGGAGACTGTGAACGAAGGAGCAGGGTCACACACCATTATCTTGTAGGAAGCGATGTTCCTCTACACCAAACGTGCGTAACCTGGCTCGTACGATATCCGCTATGACAGGATGTCAGGGCAAGGAACAGCACAAGATCAGGGATGTAACAAACCTTCTGTAGGCTCGTAATCCACAGTCGCGATTCTCACCGTGTCATTCAGAAAAAAACCGGGAGAATCTTCCAATCGTACCCCACGTCTCTTGAGTACTTGGCGAACGATCTCGTCCTCCCACAAGGAAATGATATCATTCTTGGACGCAGCAAGCACCAAAGTCGGATCATCCTTGCTTCTGCCATCATTCGTCATTGGGCGACGCTGGCCAGTGGAAGGAACCCGTCGTTCCAATGTAACTTTCTCCAAAACGGTTTTCCATCCGCTACCGGCCCGCACGCAGATCTCGGGCGTTCGTGAAGGGTCGTAGTGTTCTGGGAGCAGTTGCCGTGTGAGATTTGTCTCCATGGACAACAAGGGGAGAAGGCGCATTCGTGTACGCCGGTGGTGATCTGAAAGTGATGAAGATGATGACGATGATGAGCCAGTACTAGGGGACCGGGAGCGTGGACCTGATATTTCTAGCTCATCCTCGACAATCGAAAGGAGCTTTTTCACAGAACTAAGGTTGTCTGATATGAGATGCAAGAATTAATTTGGGGCAGATGATGCTACTCACCCAATGAGGTTGAGTTGTATGATGGTCTTCCATATGAGTGCTTCGCCATGGAAGTAGGTCGGACAAAATGCGAGCTGGAAATCTGTAGCAACGCGTCAGATTCATACACTGGACTTGACATACAAAAATATGCTCACTTCGTAACATTGTTGATTTCCCGGACTCAGCTTGCCCTAATGTCGATGTGTCAGTGATGCAGTTAGAGGAGAATTAAGTGGATATGGATACCTAGTAACAGGACCTTGATAGCCTTCTTCTTCTTGTCGAATAGCTTCTTGGACTCTAAGATACCCTCGTCTATTTCCCGAGAGACACGCTGAGCCTCCTGCTGGCGGGCTATGCGGTCTTGTTTCTCCTCGACAGACTCGTTGAGAGGTGGTTTGAATATGTTTGACCAGGCATCGTCTTGGACAGGTTTCAAGTTGATAGGAGAGAACCTATCAAGAGAGGACCGAGAATGGGATTTTGTTTGAGCCATGGAAGAAGAGAATGAAGAAAGAGAGCAAAGCGGTGTTGTTGAGCAGTACCGGACGGGCTGGCAAGCGCTAGCCCATTAAAAGCATCCCAAATCATTTGTGCCAAGATCTAATCCAGATCTTTCCTTTTGGAGTGTCCGACATCTTCTCGGAGTCAGCACCAAATGGGGAAGTAATAAAGCGCCGACTACCTAATTTGTACCTGGATGAATAATCAAAAAACACAATGCATTTGCGTCATGGTGAACACCGCGACAAGTACCCTGAGGAACTACTCATCCGGCGGCAGGGTGCGTGCGTTTAACAAGGCTCAGATCAGCATCCTTTTGAAAATTCGGAAATTCAGGCAGAATTCTGACATGTGCATGTTTACGACATATGAGACAATACTTGCTCTGTGCCGAGCATGACAGACAGATGTCAACATGATGCTTGACCACGTGCCCTTGAAATAACGTCGGTAACGAATGCACATTGCATGGTGTTCAGTTCCATCGGCTCATGCCGGTGCACAGTGTTGAAGCCGCACTAACGTTGTCAGGTTATCTGTTACGTGCTAGGTAAACCAATCTAAGACCGAGCATTAGTCTGCTCGACGCGTTCCATATTGTTCAGGATACGTGTTGAATAGCATTGTGTGAGAACGTACTCTCCTCCTTCAGGCTTTATTCGACGGTCCCAGTACAGACCTTGGCATCATCATCCCAATCTACGGAAGAACGATTGACCAGTTGACCTATCAGTATTCATCAAAATTGTACATAATATCACGTACCACATAATTTGGCATGTCCACCTAATAAGAGTAAGTATTTCAACTCAGTCTGAGACCAGCACGCCCACATACCACTTCATGCATCCTCAGGTCTCCAGCAACACTGCACAACATATACGCTTCCACCCTATCCAACCCATAATCCGCAACCAGAAAATCAATCATATTCCTCACAGCTGATCTTGTCGCCTCCTTGATATCTAACCGGCAAAACAAAAGAGCCATCAGTATTGATCACGTTTTCACCTTATCATAATCACATACCCGAGTCGATGCCGGTGGTGCAATAATACTCTCCCTCCGGCTTAATGGCCGTGTTGAAATGGGGAGTCTTGGTGTACGGCTTATCTTTCCTCACAGAGAGCCGCACTGAAACTTTCATGGGTGTCTCGATTGCAGTTCCTATGTTGATCGAAGGTCAACAAAGTTCTGATCGGGTATATGTTAGGGCCGATCTAACATACCGCACACTTCTGTTCAATTTTACCCCGGATCAGTAAGTCATGTTTCGCACACGGCGCCGTCGGCTCCGGAACGCACCTCCGTCCCCCTGTGCAGCATGGCCATCCTTAGTATGACATGATAACAATTTTGTAAGCAAATCAACGCCTCAATATTTACGAACAAGAAGTACTCACCCCAATGCTAAACAGTGCTCCCTCCACCTCAACCGGAAGATACAACGTCGAACCCACCGTCACATGCTTTGTATCGATATTTCCTCCTGTATGATAGGGCGGAATAGTCGAGAAAGCTCCCTTCTTCTTCTGCACGACCCCCATCTCCCCTGCAAAAGGTCTCAGTGGTATCTTCATCCCCCTTTTCTCATCAAACCACGCAAACCCGTCTGGTTCCAGCTTCCATATCTTGAGTGCTGGCTCTGGGAACTCGTCCGCAAGCAGCCCGAATCCTGGGAACAGCGCCGTCCATCCCCATTCGGGATTCTCAATGCGCAGAACGTCCACTTGGAGCGTGTCACCAGGCTCTGCACCCTCCACGAATACGGGCCCATTCACTTGATCTAATGCTGCCATGTTCATCGTTCCTAGACTTGCGACTGTCGACTCTGGAGTCACCTGCCCATTCGATGCGTCAAGGCAATCAAAGGTGATCTCGTCGCCTGATTTGACATGCAGGGCCGGGGGGATGCTACGCGAGCTGCGGGTTAGCGTTTATACAACAATGTATGTCGTAGTATCTTATACCTGTTGTCCCAGGCGAGGTTAGCACACTCGCGTCTCAAAGAATGAATCGACATCGTTGTGGTTGTAGCTCAGCAGATAGAGGTTGAGAATTCCAAGCACGACAAGCCACTTTGAAAGTCAATGCACAAGTATATTCGCACGTACTATATATACCATCACAAGTCAAAGATATGTGTAGATCCGCATGACACAGTCAGATAAGTCAAATAGTGGTGATCATGGGGCAAGCTTGAGAGAACGGATATCCCAGACAAGAAACATCAAAGGTGGATACCGGCAATCTATGCACCAGGCCCGAACGCAGTCCAATCAACTGTACGTGGTGATAGGTCATACCTTGCAAAGCAGGTCAGGTCAGACACATGACGCATCGTCGGTCGGCCGTGCGGACAGTTCCATGGCTGATCCATAGTGCTCATGTGCTGTACGATCTGTGACATAGTCCAGGTCAAAGCAGTTCTGTCAAGTTGTGTTGCAGGGCATACCGAAGTCATCCTGTTTGCGTTCAATGCTTTGCCTATCATGACGCTTTTACGACACGCCCGCATAGCAAACATGGCTCGCGCCTTGGAACATCTTACCATAGTTCCTACGGGACGGTCATGCATGAGATGGATAAGCTCCTCGAGATCTGCACGTGAACATTAGCTACAATTGATGCATTCACACCATCAAACCATACCTTTCGTATCGAAAACAGTGCCCTTGCTCACTGGCTGCGCTACAAGATGCAGCCTGCCCTCGTCGTCGTCGTCTTCGCCGCCTTGGCGTACAACTTCAAAACCATTCCGTTTCAGAACGTCGATGTTTTCTACTGCTAGAATCTCATCTGCAGCCGTCAGCTCCAAAGGCTCGGGTCTTCACCATGCCTCAGTCAGTTGTCTCATTGTGCCAATGCACGCCACCCACCTAAAAAGCCTCTGGGATTCAATAACAGTCGTCTGCTGGAGTGTCTCAAAGTTATACTTTTCATCCGCCGCATGTTGATCAATCATAAACAGATCGTCCAGCCCTTCCTCGGATTTCTGCCACCGAGTAACAATAAAGCCCAAGTTGAACTGACCGACCACTTGCATCTTGTTGAAGTCCGTCTTCGATATGATCCGGGAAAGAGCAGCAGAAGCCTTTGCATTATCCTCCGCGTTTTCCACGTTAGCCGTGTCTAGCGCATCGCGGACTCGAGAAGCTGTGCTGGAGAGCTCTGGAGGAGCGGGCTTAGCCCGCTCGAGATGCAACCACGTGTGGCGGATCTTATCGAGATCACAGCGCAAGGTTACCGGCGGGATGCGGTCCTTTGGAGAATGAGGAGTTGGTGTGTTGACGTCAGTGTCGACTAGAGTCATGCTGATGTCGTCTTCTGTGAGGTCGATCATGTCAGACATGTCTTGATCTGTCGCATCAACTTGTGGGACCAGTTCCGGGGCTGGACATTCTTCATGTGCCGGAGGGAGTTGGGCGGGTCCCGGGTTCTCAATAGCCATAGCATCCTCGGGTAAAACAAGAGTCTCCTTTGACGTTATGCTGACCCGGCTCGAGATCCGTCTTGGTCTAGTCTTCGAAGTTACTTTCACCACTTCTTCGTCTTCCATCAACTGGTCTTGCTCTTCAGCACCATCGATCTCCTCGGATAAACTCCGTCGGGCATCCATGTCTACTGTGTGAAGACGATCTTCGATCCGATCCCCTGACCCTCCGGCTACCTTGCTTCCAGCCCTTGCATACTGACTCAACGTAAACCTAAAATTTGTCCTGCCATCCCGTTCAGCCAGACGAAGTCGCTTCCGAGGACCATCATCTTCAAGATCGCTGTCCCCAGACCGTCCTCGGTTCCACGAAGCGCCCTTGGTGCTTAAAATAGTCTGTACCAAGGGCGCTTGGCTAGCGGGCCGTGTTCTCGTTTCCTCAATCACCCGCGACACACGTATACGATCAGTGGCGCTAACAACTTGCTCGCGGGCAGACTCGTCCTCTTGTGGGGATCCGTGATGTTCGGCTGAACGAGTGGCTTGTCCGTTGTCCCCGCCCTCCTCGACATCGAGATCAGGCAAGAACAAGGGCTGTGGCGGTTGGCCGATCATATCGGGTTGTGCGGATGGTGATTCCATTGCCGTCCGGTCTGTTTCACTATGTGATGGTGCCTCCGGCTCCGGTTCAAGAAGTAAGTGGGGTGCGCCCATTGTGATGGGCGTATCTTCACGGTCCGGCTGGGCCTGATCTAGTTCTGGGTTGACATCGGCCTTACGTGCAGAACGACCACTGCCTCTCGCACGTGTTGTTTGGGCGAGCGAAGCTTTCGGTGTGAATGATGGGTGCAGAGTGGGTTGCTGTAATGACTGAGTGCCAACATCAAATGTCGAGCGAGATGAAGCAAAAGCCTCTTCCAAAGCTGTCTTTGAGAATAATGAGAAAACAAATATAGAGATAAATCTCGTGCTTACCTTCAGAGCTTGAATTAAATTCTGCTCGCTGTGGAGAAAGATAGTGCGTTTATCGGGACTGACGTTAACGTCGCAGGCCTCTGTCCTCCAGTCAAGATGAGCTGTACTGTAGGAGTGAAGGACTCACGAGTGGGTAACACAAAGTCTGCTATGATAAAGGGTGACTGGCCAACGTTAAATGATCTGTATACCTCATTGAAGGCCTTCTGAATCTGGGAATGATGGCATCAGATGTGGACGCCAATGGCAACAGTTGCTTTACCTTGCCAGGGTTACAGGGGCGTCCGTTGACAAAGAAATATTGGCGATCACTTCCTGTGCGGCCTGCGCCCAAAGTAAACTTGGATATGAGTCCACGAACTTTCACTGTGGTAACGTTGGCGCTGTAATTAAGCCATATTCAGTGCTGCTGGTTACCGAAAACAGAAAACGAGGTACCTCTCCTGGTCAAGACGCCGTAGAACGGTCTTCTCCGTTAGGACATCAAAGGAAAGATCAAGGTCGACAACGTTGTCAAGCCCCTTTGGCCCCCACAATGCTGTAACTGACGCTTTGATGGAGGGCGACCCGTCGGTTTTGAGTTGTATGGTTTTGCGGCTGGTTGAGCCATGAGCATTACTGCGGGCACAGGTAAACAGGAAACGTACCCTCCCTCGGGTTGATTGCTCACAGTCAGTCGCACACCTCTGTTCTCGTTTGCGCACGGAACTAGTGCATATGCATACAGCAAATTCAGCGCTTTGCCAAATTCCCGCTTCGCGTTTCTTTCGAGCTCCTTACGTCGAACTGGTAAAGGCTTGAAGAGAGAGGATACAGCAACTGTAGTTCCCCGCTGTACATTCCACATTATGCTAGGAAATATTTCGAGAAATTTCACATACCTGTCTTGCCACCTTGGAATTGGAATTCCTAACTCTGCCGTTCCGATCCATTTCCAGTATGGTACCCATTGGGGCTTCATTGGCGGTTGCAGTCGTGAGGGTGACTCCATCACTCAGAGCGCACAGCGAAGACAAGGCTTCGCCGCGAAAACCAAAGGTCAAGACGGTTGAGAGGTCCTCAAAGGCAGCAAGTTTGGATGTGTGGTGTTTCAAGGCTGAGGAGGCAATGAAGTGATAACATACGGACCCAAGAAGATGATGCTTACCGACACTCTCATAATCCTTTGGGGCAATGCCGCATCCATTATCTATAACTTCGATGGACTTGAGACCGTAGTTGAGGAATCGGACCTCTACTGGAAGTCAGCTGCGTGCACAAGGCGTCAATTGAGGATGTGATGCACCGATATTTGTAGCCCGGGCGTCAAGACTGTTTTCGACAAGTTCTTTCACCGCCGTCTGTAGATCGATGACTACCTGGCCAGAGGTGATCCTATGCACAGAATGACTGTCGATTGCTCTGATAGAACCTGACGTCGATGCTGTAGGATCAAGGGAACACTCTGTCATGCTACTACAGCAGTCTGTTGATGTGGCATAGAACTTAACTCTGAATAGCGCGGAATGCCGGGAGCTCTTGAGAAAACGAGTTGAGGATCTTGATCCTGCAACTGCGGCTCCTGCCAATTGGAAGGGTCAAGTGTTCAAGTTGAACGCTTATTGTCACTGCCCGATTCGGTTGGGCGTGGCTATTTTGACGCGGTCCTGCCGCGCCTGCCGCGGTCGTGACGCGGCTGTGACGCGGCGTGACGCGCAATTGACGCGACCTGACGCACCATTGACGCGGCACTAATGCAACAAATGACGAACGAACCTTGACGCGGCCGAGTGAAGTTGGTTTTGAACATTCGCTATTTATTCATTGACTGACTCAGGCCATGCATAGAGCTACTAATCAAACAAGAACTATTTTCTTTTACTCCCTCTCTGGACTCTCTGTGGGCCCTTGCGACGTTTCACGGCAACAAGTTCTTCTTCAGCCAGCAGCGAAGGAGCTGCAACTTCAGCTTCTGACGTGGCGTCGGAATTATCGCTGAACAAGCGGCCATGCTATTGATTGCGCGAGTAAGAAAAAGCAGGTAGTGTTCAAGTTTCCTCACCTCTAATTCACTCTCACTGTATTCTCGTCCGCTAACCCATTCACTAGGCACATTCAGATACACGTTCCACCGCCTATGATGTTGACCAGCATCCAAACCCCACTGCTGGTTGCCTGCAGGCCCTGCTTCTTCAGAATCCTCGAACATCCTTGCTTCTAGTGCAGTTAAGCACTCGAGGTCTACGTCTGCGACAAAGCTGTCAGCAGGATAACTGATCAGTAGGTCAGCCCATGCCATCTTCAACAGTGCTCTTTCATTCCATTGCTCGTTCTGAGCTTCCAGACATTTTTTGAAATCACCAGCCTTTCGGTGAGCAACAACAAGAGTGAAGGCGTGCACTAAAGGCATGCCGCCGAGCCATTTTTCGACTTGACTCGAAGCACCGGGAATGTTCTCAGAGAACCAACGTGCGATTTTCGCATACTCGTGAGATGAGATGTCGCCACAATATGGGATGCTGTATGCACCTACACCGTCTAGTAGGTTCTTCTTCGAATGCATGATGTAGTCTATCACAGGATATGCCTCTGCGCCACGCTCGTTCAAGTCAGGACTGTCAAGGAGCTTCTGAAGCGAAGCTATATGAGGTCGTAGAATGTTGTCCAATTCTTTTGATGCTGGTGCTGACATAAAGTTTTGAATCAAGTCTTCTTCGCGAGGGGTATCCCAAGAGTGAACCCATTCTCCGAGCTATGTAATAGTTCATGTTGAGCAGACCGTGAGCATATCAACCAGCAAATCTCACTTACACGGATCTCACGCCTCTTAGCATGGTCCTGCCACAGTTCGTCCACGAGATCTCCTTGCTCAACATCACCAGGAGGTGATCCGAGACTTGATGGAAATTTGCAACCGCGCCACCAAACGACTCGCCAGTGTACTCGGTTACGTGCAGTTCCGTGGAGATTGGCAGCAACATAGGACTGAATCAGCCGCACAGGATACCAGTACTTCCCAAGACGAGCAAGAGCTCCTTTGCCGGCGCTACAAGTTAGTCGTCAGCTATATCTCATTCAGGCCTTGCAAGTCAGAAGACAAACATTAGACGTGTAGGAAGCAGAGCCATTTTCTTCTTGCTTGTGGCTTTTCTGCTGCTCCTGAGCAAAGGAAATCAATTGATGTACGTGGTGCAGCTGTAAAAACTTACTTGCGAGTTGGCGGCACCTCTTTTGACTGCTGTGTCGAGCATCCATCACAATGGAATTTTGCTTTCGGATGGAGATTGCTCGCTCGACCACCTCTCTGACAAGCAATGTGTGACCAATTTTCACACAGATCGCATCGAATTGTCTTCTGGCCACCTGCAACATCGTGACCATTGCCTTGAGCTCCACACCTGCAATGAAATGTATAGTCGGATGCTTCACTCTCGCCGTCATCCAGGTCCAATGATTTTTCTATCTTGGGTACAGCAGCCTCCTCGTCACCGGATGCCTGAAGGTCCAATGAATTTTCTAATGGATCGGGTAAACTCTTCGATTGAATTTGCTCCTTGCTCCCAGATGGCTGATCTTCAATTTCCGTTGCTGGTAACAAGATCCGAAGTTGTTTTCGGCCAGAATGTGTGTTCTTGGAATTACTGCCTGTGCTTACCACCTCCTCGTATTCTACATTCTGTGTAGTTGCCGGGTTTTTGAGCCAAATAAGATTGTCTGGATCAACGGCAGATACTCCAGGCCAAGAAAATGAAATGGTAGGAATTGATTTTGATGACTGCATGTCGCGTTCGACGTGAACGTGGTGCAAACGTTCTGCAGCCGCTATTTGATACTCGGCGAAGAAATCCTGTGCGGTGGAGCCCCCACGTAACCTATACACAACACCGTGAACATTGAAGCCTGCCGGTGCAGGGATGTCGTGCAAATTGCCCACAAGATGGCTTTTGAGAGTTGCATTCTTCATCAGTTGTGCAAATCCACCATGCGAAAGGTCATCATAATGATAGACCCTCTTGCCGTCAGGTGAGTAGCGAGCAACAAAGTGTGCGAGGTTTGAGGTGCGATCGCAAAAGGCAAGACCAACGACATCGTAAACGAGCAAATGCTTTTCTTCAGCTTCTTTTGTGAGTGGTCTTATGTGCTTGGGAATGTTCCATTTGTTGCCATGATGGAGGACATCACCGAACTCAACTATGAGCATCACAGGAATCCCAAGAGCCTTGGGGAAGATCGAATAGCTCCTGTGAATGGTGTCTCATGGGTCGAGGGAGGGATGAAGCATTCGAGGCGGAGAGTGCAGCAGCACCAGTTCTATGTGTGATGGGACCCGTTGGTGGAGAGGCTGGAAGAAAGGCTATTAGATTACCTACTATACTTATCAACTTCAGGATTTCATAGAGCGTTAGTCGAACAGCGCACCTGTGCGGTCATAGCAGGGAATGAGGTTCCCAATGCCCTGCGCAGAATAGTCTTGATTGCCTATGCCCGGGGGATAGAAAAACTTGAATATATGTTTGATTAAGTCCTGTGTGTGGTTAAACGCGAGTGAATATTCTGTATCTTGAAGCACTCACAAAAGGCATAGTAATTGAGAAAAGATAAAGGAGCTGAATATCTAATCAGTGCCGCTCGGCCACCGTAACACTCAAAATGGCTTGGTAAATATATATTATTGCCTTGAAACGAGTACAATATAGGAGATCTAAATCTGTAAGCACGGAAGGAGGCGTTGTTAGAAAATATATTAGTATGATACATTGATGAATTTACCTAAGATAGATATATGGTGAAGGGTTGACGCGGCATGACAGGTGTTGACGCGGCATGATAGGTGTGACGCGGCATGTATGAGTTTCGACGCGGCGTGACGCGGATGTGACGCGGCATGGATGAGTGTTGACGAGGCATTGACGCGGCACTGCTATGGTTGACGCGGCACTGACGCGGCATGGGCTATGGTTGACGCGGCATGAAATGGGCGTTGACGCGGCACAGGTAAGAGTGAAGGTTGACATGAGTGAAGATGATTGGGAAAACCTGTCGTTGTATGGGCAGTGCTTGACCCAGCCTGAACGAGGCTTGAGATGACATGGTCGGGGCTTAACATGGTAGTACGTGAGTATAGAGACTGTATTAGACTTGACAAGGTGAGGTCGAGGCTTGACACTTACTAGTAGCGAGACTTGACAATGTGAGGTTGAGGCTTGACACTTAGCGAGACAACACTTGATCTCACTGTGTCTGATGTAAACCAACATTAGGTCAATGAATTAGAGACGATACAAGACGAATTATGGTACTAAGATGGCACTGTGTGACACTAGTAGAGAAGCGCTGTAAATATGGTGAGAAGTGAATAACACAGTCTAGGGCCTGTACGCAGACGGACACTCACATGCTGATCATTAAAGAGGATATTCAAAGTGCTTGGAACTTGTTGGAATTCAGTTCGAGCGACATAAGATGTTGTTTGAACATGAGCGTGCCGCGTCACATATGCCGCGTCACAGGCGCGTCACGACCGCGGCAGGCGCGGCAGGACCGCGTCAATTTCACCTGGCCCGATTCGGTTGTTGGTGTATATATAATCGATTGTCGACGTTCTTTGTCTCTTCCTCAATACTGGTAGCTACTTGAGCGAAAGGCAACCATTTTGGATGCAACAACGTTCATCTAATCTGCTACTAAATCGGTGCAGACAACAGTCAACGACCTCGACTTAGACTCAACTCCCAGCCCTGGCTTAGGCTAGTACTGCGCCCGAGGCTCCCCTTTCTCTCGGCAATTCCGTGTGGGACTCACACGAGGCCAACGCGTTGTAGGAGTAACTTTGGCACTTTTGCACTGGTTTGTTTTCTCCGCCGAACCTCCCCGAAACCCATTTTCTAGCAGTGCTGCTAGGCCAGACCAAGCCAGAAACCTGAAGGTATGTAAGCCGCCGTTTCAAGCTCAAGCGTATTATAACCGGTGGTTGACAAAAGAATTAGCCTTCAAAGCGGATCCACCCATCCTTGAAAAGGAGCTGTTGGTGACAAACACGAGGCTTCATTCACTCCGTAGAGTAGACACTCATGTCCTCATCCCCGTCGTCACACAACGAAGTCCAACTCTCAAAAGAGTTCCTCATCACCCTCCTCACTGAACTTTCCTCACTCGTCTTTCATGAGTTCGGTTGCCAAATCCGCCTATTCATCCATGGTGGCGCAGTGATGATTCTACACCCCAACCTCTCCATATCCAGTTCTCGACGAACTACCAGGGATATCGACTATATACGTCGTGCATTCGGGCATGAGTGGCGGAAGCGAGGGGTTTATGATGCTGAAGAGCGTTTGCAGCGTTGTATTAATGCTGTTGCTGCCAAGTTTCGTATTGGGTATGTGAATTCTTCTACCTTACCTTACAGAATTTCAACGAATGCGCCTCGTAGCACCGACTGGATGAACGCAGACCCCGACGTTGCCCTCCCATTCGCACACAAGTGAGTCACTCCACAATCGGGCTCCACTCACACATCTCATGGTCCTCCTTCAGCACACAAGGGCAGTTATACGACCCTATCTACCACGACTCCAAGCAGGCGAACAACATTGATATGAACACCGTCTACAAGTCGCAAGGTCTCGTGGTCATCAGCGTCACCATGTTTTGGGGTGTTGCCCTCAAGCTCGTACGCTACAAGAAATATGACCCCACTGACATTGTGGCCATGCTGCGCCACGGCACGAAACTCAACGGCGTCCAGTGGACGCCTCGTATCATGGAGACTTGGATCACGACCCTGTGCTGGCCCATGGGCTACAACACCTACAAACCCCAGCAAGCGGAGGAACTTCGAAACCGTATCCAGGATGCAGTGCACCATCTACAAACATCACTTGAAAATTCACCAGAGGAGTCATCGCAGATGGCGCTTATCCCATCGGCCACGCGGTCACCTCCTGTGTCATCAGACATGCGTTCTCCTCCCGCTCTCTCCTCATTGCACACGATGTCGAGCAGCTTAGCTCCACACTCGTTCTCACAACCGCCGTCGGCGTCATCACTGCATTCTCTTTACATGTCGTCCCACAACATGTCGGCTCCCGCGTTCGTGGGGGAGCGCATGCGCCGGCCATCGACGACCTCATTACGACACCAAACATTTTCACCGCCCATGCCATTGACATTCACCTCATCCCAATCATCGCATACTATCTCTCACCCGCCATCGCATTCGCACCCCCCCACGCATTCTCAACCCCCCACGTATTCTCAACCCCCCGCATATTCTCAACCCCCCACGTATTCTCACCCCCCCACACACTCTCACTCCCTAACGTATTCTCATCCACCCTTGCATTCGCACTCGCACTCGCACTCGCAAAGCCCTTTCCGCATGCCAGAGCCCTGGGTAACGCCGGTGTCACTGCTCTTTCAGCCCATGCCATCCACCGCCTTCTGAATGGACCAACATAAATACCTAGACCGCGACGGAACCTGAAGCCAGGTCTGGTACATCCAGTACCACACAAGTCATATATCCGTACTCTATTAGTTCTATACGCCATCCCTTAAGTTCTAAATGTTTCCTTGTCCAAAATTTTGTTCTTCGATATTGCTATCTATACTTTCATATGTTTGCACTGGTTGGTATGTACGATATTGTATTTCACTCTGTAGCTGATGTAGCTTACAAACTGGTCGTTGACGACGTACGCTTAGCTAGACTAGCACTTGTAACGATGAGGATCACGGGGAACACGTTAACACGTTTCTTCATGTATGTAGGAGTACTTAGTTCAAAACCTTGTAAACGATTGAATACGAAACGGTTTTTTTTTTCATGTAGCTCCGCATTAGCCAATGTCCTGGGTCCGATATTGCACCAGGCAGTTACACTAGTATGAGCGATAGATAATGTTTGTCAGGGAATGGAACACGTTTAGCATACGACCTTGCAAGCAAGGTAAAGTAATAATACATCGAGAAGATATCCAAGTCTTAAGAAGCGCACCCCACTGTTCCAAGTCCAAACTTCACTAATATACCATTGGCACATCATTGTTGAAAGTTGTTGATCGATAAGGACTTTACTATTGTTATCGTCGAGTAAGCTTACATAATCATTTTACCGTACATCAGAAGTTTTCGATGCCTTCATACACCTCAGTCTTTCGACTCTCGAGACTGAGGTATGATACCATTCATTTACATTCATTTACTACGATACTGACTACTCTAGTACTTACATACTCTCGTTATAGGTCAGCTAGTAGTCTCCCTAGTCTTTCGACTCTCGAGACTGAGTACTTACATACTCTCGTTATAGCACTCTCTCTTTTGATCCGTCCTTTCGCCCTTCGTCCGACTAGTCGCTCAAAAGGTTATGAGCCCTGCTCAACGCAGATAACCAAATACACTCAGCGAAATGTCAAACCCTCAATCCTTATCCCAAGGAGCTTCCTCTCATATGCCATCAGCCTCAACGGCCCCTTCAACAGCTAGGTCGATGCATGCCTCTAGCCGGTTGTATGATGTCGCATCACTCGAGAATGACGGCTCCAACTTCCAGACGTGGAAGTACCGCATTATGACCGTCCTCGACATCCGCGGACTGTGGGAAATTGCAAATGGCACAGAGAAGAAGCCTGATGCTTCGAACCCTGCCGATTTAGCAGATTGGCAAGCCAAGGACAAGGAAGCACGAGCCCAGATAACACTTACCTTGAAGGACGAGCCTTTAAGTGGTGTATTGCATGCTACGTCAGCAGCAGAAATCTGGATTAAGCTCAGCGAGCGCTACGAGGGAAAAGGAAAGCAAACAATTGCTTACCTTATTGGTGAACTGTTTCGCGGGACCCTTTCAGATGAATCCACAATGGAGACGCAGCTGAATGCATTGCGACAGAAGGCCTACGTGCTAAAGTCACTTGGTCAGCCTCTAGATGACTCGCTAGTTGCAATAGCAATGGTTATATCCTTACCTCCTTCCTACTCGATCCTTCGAACCATTCTCATGTCCACGAGTGACAAGCTCTCTGTCGATACCGTGATCTCGCAAGTCCTGGTAGAGGAGAAGTCACGACAGACCTCAAATGGTCAGTCCGCACTCGTCACGAAGGGCCCTAGTCAGCAGAAGACTAAGCCGGACAAGAAGAAAAAGACATGCAATTATTGCTCTATACCTGGACACATCGAGAAGGATTGCCGAAAGAAGAAGAAGGCGAAGGCTGATGAAGCTGCGAAGAGCACTGCCAGTGGAGGAGAGAAGGACAAGCCAAAGGACAAGCCAGATTTGTCAGCGAAGGTCGTGCATGTTGCACCTGATCATGGACAGCCAATCCAGCTCTTCGTTGCTCGTAACCCTGGGAAGGGAGTAACTACATCCAACTGGATTGTAGACTCAGGTGCTTCTGCAAATATGACATGTCAGCGAGATATTTTCATGTCATTTCGCACCTTAATTCCTCCCGAACGAGTCATCATCGGAGACGGCCGATCCATCGACGCCACTGGTATTGGGCGTGTTTCACTAGATGTCCATGTCGGAAATGGAGAGTACAAGTGCACCATCATTCAAGACGTGTACTATGTACCAGACCTAGATGCAAATCTATTGTCAGTACCACGCCTAACTCAACGAGGTCTAGGAGTTACCTTTGATGGAAATACTTGCAAGGTTCTCGCAAATGGCGAAGTTGCAGCACTTGCTCGCAAACAGAACTCGCTATACATCCTTGAAATTGCTCCTCGCAATGCTACTCGAGCCTACATCATGCAAGGTCCATCAGTGACTCTCGATCCAGACACTCCAATATCGGCATTTACCTCCTGAAAGCTCTCTTCAAGCGCGACACTGGAAACATGGCACCGACGACTCGGGCACATCAATTTCGACTCGGTTTCTAAACTAGTGAAGAAAGATATGGTCAATGGGATGGACATTGTGGGACCTAGCACTCACAGCAAAGACCTCTGCGAAGCCTGCCTCGAAGGCAAGCAGCATAGAAACCCGATCCCAACCAAATCCAATGTCGAAAAGCCCGAAAGTCTTGCACCGCACGTACTCAGACGTCTGTGGTCCCATGGAAACAATAGCTCGCACTGGGTACCGGTACTTCGTCACATTCATAGATGCCTATTCGCACCATCTTGTGGTCAAACTCGTGAAAACAAAGGACGAAGTATTTGAACTTACCAAGTCCTACTTCGAGAGAGCCAAAACTGTCACTGGCGAACGCCCGAATTATTTTCGTAGTGATGGTGGGGGGGAATACGGCTCGAAAGAGTTCTCTTCCTATCTCGAATCAAAAGGAATCCACCATGAGAAAACAAACGCATACACACCACAAGAGAACGGTGTTGCTGAGCGTATGAATAGAACCTTGGTAGAGATGGCACGAACCATGCTTTGCGATGCCAAACTGCCAAACAAGTACTGGGGAGACGCGATCTTGTTCGCAACTCATATCTTGAACCGGGTACCGACACGAGCAATCATTGGAGACTTGACCCCACACGAAGCATTCACTGGAAACAAGCCATCAATCGCACATCTTCAAGCATTTGGGTGCAAAGCCCATGTGCACATACCTGATGAGAAACGCCAGAAACTCGGTGCAAAATCACTCGAGTGCGTCAATCTAGGGTACGCCGAGCACAAGAAGGCCTATGTATGCCTGCACCGTGCTACTGGTCGCATTTTCGAGTCGCGAGACATTGTTTTCGATGAGGGAGATCCAGAAGGACCAAACCGTGTCAAGATTGACACTATACCTCCAGAGGAAGACCCAGAAGGATCAGGCTGCACCAAGACGGTTGCACCCTCTGCTTCGAAACAAGCCATCGACGATCCCAAAACTCCCCAGTGTCATATACATAGCGATGACGTCCTGGATTTCGATCCTCCAGAAGCACAGACTGCCGAAGATCCCTCCGACTCAGAAACTGAAGGCCAAGATACAGATCAGCCAAGTCGAGCAAATACAAACGACTTACCTGCTGAAGAGCATCCAGAACACCCTCAAAGGCCAGTTTCCACAGTTCATCGAGTGCGAAATCAAGTCCCTGGACCACCTGGACCACTTGGACCATATCCACACCCAATTCCGCCACCAGAAGTGCGACGAAGTGCACGAGTGCGCAAGGCACCTATCCGAGATGATGATGCCCGCTATTTTGTCAATGCCTATGAGAAGGCAACTCTCCCACAACGAGAGAAGACTGTTGAGGTGTCAGTGACTGCAGATCCAGTGGGCGAGCATGAGAGAGGTGGTGGTACTCACGAGAACGTGTATAAGGCTGCAACAGCCTGCGATGACGAACCAAGGACCTTCAATGAAGCCGTAAACCGTCCGGACGCGGACCTATGGTATGAGGCAATGCATGACGAGCTGAGGATCTTCGAGAAGATCGGCCTATATGAGGAGGTCGAGCGGCCCCGTAATCGCAAGATCGTAGACTCGAAGTGGGTCTACAAGGTTAAACGTGGGCCCAATGGCGAAATCGAGCGATACAAGGCTCGCCTTGTTGCAAAAGGCTTCACCCAGGTTCACGGCATCGACTACACGGACACATTCGCACCTGTCACCAAGTTCTCCACCATCAGAGTCCTCCTTGCACTCACAGCGAAATACGACCTGGAAATCCATCAGATGGACTGTTAAATCAGCATTTCTCAATGGTGAACTCGAAGAAGAAATTTACCTTGAATTGCCTCCAGGTTTCCGCAGCTCATCAGACATGGTCTGGAAACTCAAGCGCGCGCTGTATGGACTAAAACAAGCACACAAGGCTTGGTACAAGCGTCTGCGTGCTGTTTTCGAGTCGCTCGGTTTCACGCGCAGCGAAGCAGACCATTCGGTCTTCTACAAGTTCGAAGATGGTGTCCTAATTGTCGTTGCAGTCTATGTTGATGACAAACTAATGCTATCAAAGAACTGCAAGGCCATTGATCAGCTCAAGGAACGGTTAGCATCAGAATACGAACTCACCGATCTCGGGGAGGCAAGATGGATCCTTGGGATGGAAATCATCCGCGATCGCGACAAGCGAACCATTGAATTGTCGCAATGCCGATACGTCGAGTCCATACTTGATCGTTTCGAGATGGGGTCCAGTCGTCCCGTGACAACGCCAATGGATCCTAACACGAAGCTCATCAAGGTCAGCAAACCTGAAGTCGATGTAAAGACTTACCAAAGCGCTCTGGGTGCGCTAATGTACGCGATGCTCGCCACACGCCCAGATCTCGCGTTTTCAGTGGGCGCATTGAGCAAGCATGCTGCAAACCCCGGAGGAGTGCACTGGACAGCGCTAAAGCGTGTCTACAGATATCTACGCAGAACCGTCAATGCTCGATTAATATATCAAGGGGATACAGACACTCACCCACTTGCATATGTGGACGCGGACTGGGCATCAGACACAAACGACCGTCGTTCGATTACCGGATATGTTTTCCTAATATCTGGTGGAGCGGTTAGTTGGTCGTCGAAGAAACAAACCTCCGTCGCGTTATCGAGTACCGAAGCGGAATATATGGCTGCCGCTGCCGCTACAAAAGAAGCAATCTGGTTAAAAACATTCCTTAGCGAACTCAACTTCTCGGAAACTCACCCTATTACCCTCCATATTGACAACCAATCTGCGATACTGCTTGCCAAAAATTCCATGTTCCACGAACGAACGAAGCACATCGCGATCCGTTATCATTTCATCCGGGAGAAGTTGGAGGAAGGGGAGATTTCTGTCGAGTACGTTCCCACAAACGAACAGGTCGCTGACGTCTTGACCAAGCCGCTTGCACGCGAGAAACACGGCCGTTTCGTTGAAGGGATGGGAGTAAGCATTGTCCTCGCCGAGTGGGCGTGTTGAAAGTTGTTGATCGATAAGGACTTTACTATTGTTATCGTCGAGTAAGCTTACATAATCATTTTACCGTACATCTGGAAGCCCGCCGTGGTGGCGGCGGGAAACACTAAGCAGATCAAACAAGGATTAATAGGACAAGACCGTGGATTTCAGAGCGTGATACAAATGAGCAGATGATAGTAGGTAAGAGACCTGAGTCTGATCTCGATGGCGTGAAACGTAGTGATATAAATGGGGGAACGTTCACGTGATTGTTGATGTTGTAAGCACTCGGCTTACACCCTCCCATCCTCCGAAGAACCAAGTGTCTCGTTGAATTCTTGAAGAGCGTCTGAACCCTCAACCTCACTTCCTGCTAGCCAAACGTCTGCTTGTGGTCCGTAACCGCGCCATCGAACGAGGTATTGAAAGCCGCGGCCGCGTGGACGACGATCTAGAATGTGTTCAATCTCCCATTCTTCGGCACCTGAAGGTGTGATGATTGGTCTTGGTGTTTGTAGCTCGCGGGACGGATAGAGTGTTTGGTCATTGGGTACGTGCTTCTTCAATTCCGAGGCATGGAAAGTTGAGTGTATGTTAGTATGCGCTGGTAGGTCAAGAGTGTAATTGGAGGACTCAGGGTGCGCTATTATGATCTTGTATGGCCCGTCGAAACGGGGCATAAATTTAGCGACCCGTCTGTTATTTCCGGTTGTGTATTCTCGTCGCCGGTGCGCCGTTGAGAGGTATACGAGGTCGCCAACTGTGAATACTGGTTCTTTGTCTCGGTGAGCGTTT